GAGAGATCCTTGCCACCCAGAGTGATCTCTCTGAAGCGGCTTTTTGCAGACCTGATAAACTCGTCTTTCGGATCAGGTACAACCAAAGTACAACACAATTCCCGAGTTTCCATGTATACATATTATATACACACATATATATATATATATGTATATGCATATATATATATATATTCTATTAGGTTACCCCTCGGACAGAAACAATTTGGGGTAGTGATGCCATGGGACAAAATGGCTTGCTTGTTGCGTCCCTCCCCTCCCTGAATTGGGAGGATGGGGTTGTCTGATTCCATGTGAAACACCAGGGCCAATCTTCAACAACCGCCCAGCGCTTACCAAATGGTACAAACTGTTCATGAGAGACGTATCACTGGGTCAAACATATGTTCAGATTCTATATTTACTCTACCCTAAAATCCGCCGACCCCCTGCCTCCCGTCCCAGCCTCCTGCAGAGGGGGACCGGGAATGAAGTGATTGATTTTTTGGTCCCTCAACAACACGCCCGAAAGCACAAAAAGTGGATTCCCAGGACCGGTCCCAGGACCGGTCCCAGGACCGGTCCTGGACCAGTCCTGGGACCAGTCCTGGGACCGGGACCGGTCCCAGGCCGGTCCTGGATTCCTAAGACCCAGGTTTGGACCGGCACCGGTCCAGGACCGGTCCCAGGACCGGTCCCAGGACGGGTCCCGGGACCGGTCCCAGGACCGGTCCTGGCCAGGACTGCCTCCGCTGTGTCGGCTCGAACAGGACTCTGCCAGTCCTGGTGCCACCTCAAACCGCTCCAGACACCTGTTTCCTCCAATGTCGCTGTTTTTGGACTGGTCCCGGTCTCTGCAGTAATTGACGGACGAGCTGATCTTTCTAACTTTTCCGTTAATCCTTGTGGCATTCTACAAGAGAGTCCAATACGTCGATTCAAACCGCGCCAGACTGGGGCCAGCCTGGACAGGGTCCCAAGTCCCGCCGGCCCAAGCGGCAATTTCTGACTTTTCCGTTAATCCTTGTTTGTGGTCCTAGAGGATCTTATAAGTGGTCCCTGGGTTTGCGGACTGGCACCCGTGTTTCAGGACCGGCCTTTATGACTTTTCCCTTAATGCGCCGAGGGTCGGCGGCAGCAGGCGGATTAATGTCGCCGCTAGGCAATTAGCCTGCTAGCTTTAGCTATAGGGGGTGCACCCTGGCGCCGCCGACCCTCGCCGCTTGGTCGTGATGCGCTGCCTAAATCCGGCACCTCTGCATCACCAGCTCGGGCTTGCGGTTTTGCTTGCCTGTGGGAAACCCTCGCAAAACATCGCGTATATGCAGGGTTTAGGCCATGTGGCTGACATCATCAGGGTCTGGGGTTGGGCCTGGGTGATGCTTCAGCGGGGCTTGGTCTGCATCATCAAGACTTCCTTCCAAACAGCCTCTCAACCCAAAAAGCACTGCTTTTTAGAAGGTATTGGAGGGATATAAGCGAGGCTCATTTTCGCGCATTTTGGCGCCAAGCGCTGCCGGGCATGCCGGCGATGCTGGGTCCTCGCTCTACAAAACGCTGTAAATACCGTCAAAAACTGCTGTGCTGAGCTGTGGGCTTTTGTTCTGTCCGTTTTGCTTTTGCTGTGGCTGGCTCGCGTGCTGCGCGGTCCTTGCTTTTTTCGCGTTGGTTTTCGTGCCTTCTGCGACCCCAGCCACAAAACGCTGCGTTTTACGGTGTTTTGTTGCTGTTGCGTTTCCGGGCTGGCTTGCAGGCTTCTTTTTGGGCTGCTGTTTCTGCGGCCTCTGGCGCGCGCGCGCGCGACCCCATGTCAGCCTTCTGGCTTGGGTCCTGGCTAGGGCCCAGAAAGCTGGCATCCCCGGCATCATCTGGGGTTGGGGTGGGCAACATGCATAACCTAACCAGCCATATCATAGCACAGGATACGTTTCTCATACAAAAAACATGACATGACATGGTATAACTTCAAAGAGGCGTAGCCGGCTAGAGGCCGCAGGCCCAGAAATAACATGATGTTGGAGGCCAATATTAGCCACAAATTTCATGTTGCTCTTTTTGGCCAGGAACACAGTTTCTTTTTCCCGATCCCGCCCAAAGCGGCAGCCGGTGCCTTCTACGGGAGTCACCTCCACGTTGCGCGGGCCTTGGGCGCGGGGGGCTTTGGACCGTCGCCGCGCTCGACCGGCGTGCGCCATCAGCGGCAAGGCCAACAGCACCGGCACCCAGGTGGCGCGATGGGGCGGGAGGTCGTGGATGTTACCTGCGCATCTGGCGGGAGCGAAGCCCTAGGGTTCAATCCCTCGATTTGACTGGCTACCCTCAAAAAAGGTCGAACAAGAAGGGAAACCACCCCCAAAACTAATCCATAGGGTTCACCCCCCATTAAAAGAAGGGCAAGGACCCGATTAGGATGATAACAGTCCTTCGCTAAACAATGGTGTCATTATATGAACCCAACCCTTGGTTTAATGGTGGTTTGAATCCCAGGTAAGGGAATGAGCTGTTTGGGGATACCAAAGAAAACCAACAGGGATGGTTCATAGGGATCGTTTTTTTGGCACTCTGGGATACTCAAATTTTGTTCAGATTCTGCTTCTTATTTAATTTAAATACCCTAAAATGTAACATATCTTGGAGACTTCAAAAATCTAGCTGGCTGCTAAATAGGGACTCTGGAAGAAAAACAGTATTCCGTCCCCTTCTGGCTCCTTCAAACAAGTCTGTGCTTCATTTTTTGCACCCAGCATGAAGCTTGGTTTGTCTCCAAACATGAGAATCCTCCAAATGGGTTCGAACTCTGGGTAAGAAAGTGTTTGCAATTTGCCCTCCGTTTGCAGTCCCCCGGAAAAGACACAAAACAACAAACACATATACGTATGTGTATATATATATATATATCTATATACATGTCCAGTACTGATAAAGTATCTTTGAAGGGAAATAACACATATTCTGAAGCAAATGGAAGAAACTTGAAGGGTCCGCCCAAAGCTTTATGGCACCTAATTCTTGGCGCGAAACCTTGAAGTGGCCAATGGAACCAAAGGCTTCGCTTTGGGCTTGTTTCAAAGGGGAAAGAAAAAGGAAAACCACGATTTTTGGGCCTCGGCTCGAAGCGGCCAGGACTTGCGCTTGCGCTTGCGCTTGCGCTTGCGCTTGCGCTTGCGCTTTCGTAGCCGGCGCTTTCACCGGAGTGGTCACTTCCATGGCTGCCGGGGCCGGTCCAGCCTGCTTTCGCTGTGCGAGGAGAAACTGGCAGGCGTCCGGTCTTTGCTGGGTGAATTGGGTTTGAACATGTACAAAGCTGAAAAGAGTACAGGATGCTTCTCGCTTTAGCTGTCTGAGAATGGGGCTCTTTTCACGCGAAACATGCTGAATGTCCCTTGACTCCAAAAACGCCCTTGATATCTGTACTGTCACACATCCACAAACACGACTCTGGGATGTTTGGGCTCGTTGTTCGCAGGTATCCGAATTTCGGCATCCGTTGCACACCTTGAGATTCTTCAATCCAGTTGGTCCTGCGAGCCAGGTAGCGCCGATGTCTGCTTTGCGCATTTGCAAGCGGGAAGGAGCTGCAAGCGGCCTTGACCTTAGGCGCCTTGTTGGGGTGGCCGTGCTGGAGGCCCCTTCTTTGGAGACACGCCCACATCTCAGCATCAAGGTTAGCATTCCCAAGGCCGACACTCACGCATATCACAAGAGCAACACAAGGGCTGTCAAACAGAAAGGGACAATGGCATCCTGCATCCGGACAAGAGCACCCACAACAAATCCAACATGCCAACACAAGGCCACCTAGAGGAAATAAAGGTAGACTTCCCCAAACCAAGGTGAACAGGAATCCTTACATTATACACCTGAACATTGCCTTGTAAATTGTGGTTTCCCTTTATTTCGGTGTTGAAAAAGCAACATGGCTCAAATGGTTGCAACATGGAGATCTTTCAGGAGCCCTGTGAAACCATGGTTGAAACCATTTCTTGCGGTGGTTACCGGAAAATCCATCATAATGCGGCGTTCTCAGGTGCAGGAGTTCATCCACAGGACTTCCCCAAACAAAGGTGAATCATAGGCGCAAAACAAACAAATCTGACATCTCCAGACCCCTGAGCAGCTCCTGTGGTTTCTCTCCCCCCCCCCCGCTGAACAGGGGATGGTGGAGCATTTATAGCTTGGTTGCTGTTGACCCCCCTGCAAAAAGTTTAACTTTTTTGGGGTTTGGTGGAAAACCCTTGATTTCCTTAAGAGTTAAAGTCTAAAGATCCAACCCAATAGCAGTCGAGATATAGTCGTGCTTCCTTCTGGCATGCGAATGCAACAGGCGGATGACTCCCCTGATCAGCATATGGCTGTGGTGGTCGAAACCAATGGGATCCCATTTTGGGGGTTTTCGGTGCACCACCCATTTTAGTCGAAATTTTAGTGCGGATTGGGATGTTCACTGGGGGTACGGGATTTTGACCCATGGCCATATCAACGCGAAATTGGTCGTTGGTAGAAGAATCCTCCGTTTCTTGGCCCAAGATTCAGATTCCGCTCCATGTTTGATCTACCCTAGAATATAAAACGGTCCCCAGTTTTCGCACAACCAACCTTGAAGTGCAAGGTGGCAGGGCGACAAAATGATGGCGCACTGCACTTCCCTTTATGTGGGCAAGTAAAGGGGATGGCTAAAACAAAAAGGGAACATTGTGCCATCTACCACACAACTCTATCGGCGCAACACACCACACCAAGACCGCCTTCGCCAAGAACTGCAGGTTTAGCAGGCCCTAACCTTGGGGGCGGGGTTGGAGCTGGTCTGTAGGGAAATGCCAGGGAGTATGAAGACAATCCCAAAGAAGATCTACCAATGACGTGTTCTTGGGGGTTCTGTGATAATGTTGACCCTTCGCAATAAATCCCAACCACTTCAAGTTGTTTTGTTTTTTTCTCCGGGAAAATCCCTTGTCAAGAGACCTGTCCTCCAAACGGAAGCTTCGTATCCCAAAACCGGAGCGAGCCGATTCGAGACCCACCTCGCTGCAGGAGATGCTGAGATCCCGGATAGGCCCCCGGAGGCCCGGGCAGCGCACCTGAGGCGCCATCTTTCACCCCGACCACCAAAAGCTCAGATTGCAACCTGAGAAGGGAAGTCTTCAGGAAAACATGGGAGTTTTTGAGCCCATGCTGTAGAAATGCCTTGCCTTGCTGGTTGAGCGCTCGTTTCACTCGACTTTTGGTTGGAACATGGTAAAGTTTACATGAGACAAAACCAGCTAGTAGAGCCACCTATGGTGAATGGAGCTGTGGGCGCCGTCCATGCGGGATGCTCCAGGGTGTTTCAACCAGAGGACTTGAAACTGTTTCCCACTTTCAGACAGCAAATTCGTGGGAGACAGGTTGCACCTGGACACCTGGAAAGCAATTTTGATAAGCTGAAGGGATCCCTCAGAGATTGGCACTGTTTGCAGTAGACGCGGGTTTGCTCTGTAAGGCTCTTTGGGCCTTGGCCAACTTTTTGTTTGCCGTAAGGCTTTGGCTTTGAGGGCCCCGTGCAACATTCACATAAATTACACCGAACATTTGGCGGCGCTTTCACGGGCAGGTCTCGCAGACCATGTCCCCGCACAACTTGCCTCGTGCAAAAACCATCGCCAAAAGTGATCGTTCAAGTAGACCTCTCTCAAATTCAAAGCAGCCATCTACTTGCCCGGGAAAAGTGGGCGCAGTACACACAAAATGATATGTCTGCTTCATATTTGCTCTACCCCTAAAACGAAAATAGTTTTGAAGGAGACCCAGGTTTGTTGCCTTGCATATTCGGAGCCACCACCCAGGTTACAGATTCCTCCAAAGCACGCCCCTGAAATGTTGGCTGGGTCAGCATACACATCGTACAAGAACCAACCTGCGAAACACGCCCCCCTGTTTCCAACGTACCCATCAGCCAGCGGGTTGCGCACAACCTTTTTGTCAGTGTTCAGGCGCAAGAAACCAGCAGGATGAAACACAACGATCCCCATCTCCTTTGCTTTCCTCAAATGCGATACCTCTCAGAAGTACTCTGCAACAAACCCTGATGTGTTGCCTTGCGCGCCAGGATCAGACAAGGCTTCAGCAGGTATCTCATCTGGTACATGTTCTTCATCTTGCACATCGATTGGCACATCTTGTGGCACATCCATTGGCAAAGGCAAGCCATTTGCATTCGGAGCATTGGCTTTATCCGGATTTCGACGCCTCCAAGGGAGCCGGCCAAAGAGCAATCGAATGCAAGCTGGGCCCACGCAAGGAACCAGTGAAATTCTTGCTGGGCCGAGGATGCACAACAAAAGGCTGAATGGAATGATCACAAAGTGCGCGGTAATATCATATGAAAGCCCACCCCAAACGCCAAGAATACCAGGAAGCAAAAGCAGCAAGAAGAGGATGCATCTGACGCAAAAGGACTTTCTCTCAACCGGCAAGCAACAGAAGACTACAGGCCACACAATGGCCTCGAGCGCGGCGACGCTGAGTAAGACCCAGTGAAGTGCAGGAGGTTGTTCGCCGTTCTGAATGTGTTCAAAACCGGGAAATAGATCGATTCTGTGCTTTTTGACTTGAAAAAACTGAAATACCATGAGGCCCCAAGTGCAGATGAAGGTTGCCCTGCTCCAGCCCGAAGAATTGCCAAGCGGCCCAACGCGCTTGGTCACAAGCCGCAAATCCCTCGTGGACACGTTCATAGCCAGGAGTGTCTGCACTGTCTCATCAACTGCGTTCAATTGCCCACTTTGTTCGATCTCGCCCAAGATGTTGTTCAAATCAACGGGGTTGGAGCTGGTTTGCATTTCCTTATGTTCAAAAGCGGTGTGGCTTGGCATGTGTTTCTTGGGCTGATGAAACTGCAGTACAAAGCACCCCCACATTGATAAATTAACAGCTGGCTGGTACGGAACCTCCCGTTTGCCCTCTCTCGCTGGTGTGATACCGCCAGGGCACCCTGGGCTCAACGGTGAAGTGACTTCAAAAGACCAATCAACGACTGTGAAAGGCCAGAGGACAAAGCACTCAGCGGGAAAATTGTCCAAGATGGTAGAGGCTTAGCCTCGGAACACCCGGCGGTGAAGCGCTACCCTAGACTTCCAAAGGACATTAAATAAATGGCCGAGGTGGTAAAGTACATTTTAAGTAGCTGGAAGGGGCTGCACAGTCCCATTTTGCCGAGCTTGAGAGTGCTTCGTGCGCTTCGCAGGGCTGCCTTCTGCCGAAACTTGCCAACGCATATGCCATGCATATAGTGCACAAGTCTTTCATTGCCCCATTGCCAAGCCAGAAAAGAGCAACAAAGTCCTGAGAAGACACCTGCCGCGAATTGACACCAAAATGGTGCAAAAACGGTGTGTGCAGAAAATGTCTTTTCTACGGCAATAAATGACCGCTCTACGGCAGCAAATGTACTTTCTACGGCAGAAAATGTACTTTCTATATACGGGTTGTCTACGGTTTGTCTACGGTCCCTCTCGGTCGCAAGCAACTAGGAGCTCAACAAATTTTGGTTTTACGATTCGACCTGATGTGAATATCCTGATTTTGCAATGTGTTTCCCCTTCTGCGGAGTGAAGTACCCCAAACTTGCACCTTACTTTTCGTAGCAGTTTTTTGCCTGCCTATGGTTTTCCGACTGGTTTGCCTGTGGTATGTCTATGGTGTGTCTATGGTGTGTATATGGTTTGTCTATGGTTTGTCTATGGTGTCAATTGGCCCTGATCAGAGCACGAAGAAATTGGGCCCCCATAGTGGATGCAAAAGATGTCCCTTCTCGAGCAAAACATGTCCGTTGTCCCAAGGACATTCATTTAATGGTCGAGGAAGTTCTGGGGCTACAACAAAATTGACCAACAGAAGTTGGGAGGCCAGCTGGGTCAACAGCCACCAGCAAAAAACAAAGCAGGGCAACTCAGAATACTGGCGCTTTGCATTCGTCTTAAAAAGCCCAGGCGCCAAAAGCCGAATCAAACTCAGACAAAGGCGGACAGTTTACAACCTCTCGCAGGAGGCAGCCAAACAACAAGATCGACTCAACCGGAAGGTAAACGGCAACGTCTCGAAAGGTCCCAGCGCGTCGCTTGGCTCAGTTGCAAGTATCCGGTAGCCAAAAAAAAGAAAGAGAAACAGGCATCTCACACTCCCAATGCACTTCAGGCAAACCAGACTCAAAGAGGCTTTCGCAAAGAATGCAAAGGTAGGCGAAATCGGGCCCTGAAAGCTGCTTCCATGAGAGCGTTGCCAATGCAAAAGCCCATGTCAAAAGCCAAAAGCACTCCCTCCAAAAGACGAATAACGGCAAGGAGAGCTGACGGAAAAGAGCATCGTATTCTCCATGTGGCAGGAGCTGAGGCGACCAAGATCTGACAACTTGCACAATGCAGTGAGGAACCCGGCAGGAACGCGGCCAGGAGGCGGCCAGGCCGGCACAAGGAGGCCCTGGAGACTGCCAAAATGCTGGAAGGAAGTCGCAGAGCTCTCAAGCAAGGGAATGGCCACAAAGACAAACGCGTAATTTGTCAAGCCTCTCGCAATGTCCCGGACAGGGAGAGGCCCAAGCGTAAAAGGCCTCAGAACCACTACCCTTAAATGACACCAATGCGTGATGCGAGCTCCAAAGAGCGAACAACGGGATGGCCTGGGGGAAGCGCTGTGGCATTGCTGGTGCACCACGCAGAGAAATCGCGATTCGCAAACGACCCTGGTGCCCCTTCACCTAAGGAAACGACCCTGGCCCCCACCTAAGCAGCCTGGGCGGGTTGAGCCTCAGCTGAAACCTCCGGTTTGATCGTTTGCTCATTGTGGTAAACTTGACAACCCTGCTCATGCGCGATCCATCCCCAAAAGCCAGCCAGCCACATTGACAAGTTTCTGACGGTGTCTGCGAAGCCTTTTCGCAGCAGCTTAGCTTGCCGGTTCGCTTCTGCTGCTCGCAACCGGTCTCCCTCCGCTGCAGGAACTGCAAGTACTGCGACCAAAAACGCCGAAAGCACAGGCATTTCTGTAAAGCCGGTCAAGCATATGTCCGCTGCCAAGAACACGGCCTAATCAGAGAAAAACTCATCAGGGAAGAACTTTAGGGAGGCTGAAAAATCAAACCGTTGAGGAAATGTTGAAAAAGCAAACAGGATAAAACGAGATTTCCTGCATTGAAACTGGGGGAATTCTCAAACAGAGTGCGCATGCTGGTGTACTGGCTGGGCTGCTCAAAATAACAAGCCGCATGTGGGATATCAACGTGGCAAAACGACATAACACCAAATCAGAAAGAACAATCTTCGAAGCGCCGAGCTGCCAAGCAAATGCTGAAAACCCACATTCCCAGCTGGCATGTGATCCAGCCGTGCTTCTTCATCAAGAACAAAAACATAACTGCACAGCCACACACCGCAGCCAATATAAAGCCTGATGTCCTCATAAGTTCCACCCTGTCTTCCACATCAGGAGAAAAGCCTTTGAAGGTCGCTTGCTCTATTAGTATCAAAATGAGCGCACTCAACACGGCAAGGCCGGTGCCGGAGACCGCTAGCGTATCCGGCAGAACACGCAAAGGCGACCTCGCGGTCACGATGCGTTTGTCCAACGTATAGCCCAGGAATGCTTCGTAAACACACCAAATGCGAGTGTAAATGCTGCTTACCTGATTGGTAACCACAAGAATGGAGGATGATGAGTGCAAAGCTTTGGCAAACGGTGACTCCTTCGGGCTTTGTATCAGGTCCGAAATATCCAGGTTCTGCGGGTTGGAAAGGAAGCACACATAACATGCCGTCGCTCCCTGGGGGTAGGAATGTTCGACCTTGTCGATGAACTCGTAGATGCCTTCGGACCACGCATGAGTGACGAACACATCACAGCGCAGGCCTTCAGGATGCTTCAGCAATGCCCAACTGACTCTCCCGGCTTTTAGTGTCACCGGCTTGATGAACTGCTCTGTGACAGTGTAGACTGACGGCCCTATAACTTTGTCCTCAGACAACTTTCTGGAACTTTACAAAAGGGTTGTGCGCAAAATCCTTTTTGTGGGCACAAACAATGTTAATTATCTGGCACTTTGCTAGCGCTCAGCACTGCGGACGATGCGCACGCGCGCGCACGCGCTTGTTTGCTTCCATGCGTGCTTGCGCGCGCGTGCCCATGCGTGCCCGAGCGTGCGCGCGTGCCCGTGCGTGCGTGCGTGCCCGTGCGTGACCGCGCGTGCGTGCCCGTGCGTGCCTGCGTGCGTGCCCGTGCGTGCGTGCATGCGTGCGCGCGTGCGTGCGTGCCCGTGCGTGCCCGCGCGTGCGTGCCCGTGCGTGCATGCGTGCGTGCCCGTGCGTGCGTGCATGCGTGCGCGCGTGCGTGCGTGCGTGCGTGCCCTTGCGTGTCTGCCCCTGCGTGCGTGCCCGTGCGTGCGTGCGTGCGTGCATGCGTACGCGCGCGTGCCGGTGCGTACGTGCCCGTGCTTGCGTGCCCGTGCCTGCGTGCCTGTGCGCGAGCGTGCCCCTGTGCGGGTGTCTGGGCGGCTGTTTGAAAGCGATATTAAAGGGTCTCGAGCTTGTGCGTGCGTGCGTGCGTGGGTGGGTGGGTGCCATGGGTGGGTGTGTGTGTGTGTTTGTGTGTGTGTGCGTGCCCGTGCGTGCGCCCTTGTGTGCCCATGCGTGCTTGCGTGCGTGCGTGCGTGCGTGCGTGCGCGGGTGCGTGCCCTTGCGTGCGTGGGTGCCCGTGCGTGCGAGCGTGCGTGCCCGTGCTTGCGTGCCCGTGCGTGCGTGCGTGCCCGTGCGTGCGTGCGTGCGTGCGCGCGCGCGTGCGTGCGTGCGTGCGTCCGTGCGTGTGTGCCCGTGCGTGCGTGCGTGCGTGCCGGTGAAGGGCGTGCCAGTGCCCGTGCTTGCGTGCCCGTGTGCGGCGCCCGTGCTTGCGTGCCCGTGCGTGCGTGCCCGTGCGCGGGCGTGCCCGTGTGCGGGCGTGCGTGCGGCTGAAAGATATATTATGGGGTCTCGAGCATATTTTGTGCGCGCGTGCGTGCGGTGCGTGCGGTGCGGTGCGGTGCGGTGCGGTGCGGTGCGGTGCGGCGCGCGCGGTGCGGGCGCGGTGCGGTGCGGTGCGGCGCGGCGCGGCGCGGCGCGGTGCGGTGCGGTGCGTGCGTGGGTATATGTGTGTGTGTGTGTGTGCTGGCGCGGGTGCGGGTGCGGGTGCGGTGCATTGCGTGCGTGGGTGGGTGGGGGGGTATATGTGTGTGTGTGTGTGTCTGTCTGTGTGTGTGTGTGTCTGTGTGTGTGTGTGTCTGTGTGTGTGTGTGTTTGTTGGTGGGTGTGTGTGTGTGTGTGGGTGGGTGGGTGGGTGGGTGGGTGGGTGGGTGCGGGCGTGCGTGCGTGGGTGTGTGTGTGTGTGTGTGCGCGTATGCACGTCGCTTGTGCGCAGGCGCCCGCACACTTAGTAAGATAGTACAAGTTGCAACCCCAAGTTGATCTTGCCCCTTGAGCAAAACGTCCAGTCTAAGATATTGTCGGTCACACCAAAGCCATATTTTCAAAATAATGAGCCCGAGGAAAAAACATGTTTTGGAGTGTGTCTTAAGTTCCTAATGGAAAACCCCCATATTGGGAAGGCCCCGCATTTTCTGAACTGCCAAGTGGCCTTCTCCAGAAACTGATCACGATCGGTGGGACGAATGTCGCCCTTCATGACTGCAGCGTGCACCAGCCGCTTGAACTGCCGCAAATCTTCCAGAGTCACACACCACATGTCCTATGGCTCGCAAAGCAACGGTTTGTTTCCGGTGTGAAGAGCGAAAAGGAAAGCAAATACAGATTGGGACATTGCTATTACTTCCCCGATATATTATGTCTTGATCACGAGAAGTGCTCTGGGGGTCCCTATCAGAGCAACTGGCCACCCGATTTCCGACATGTCCTGGTCCACTTCCCGGTGCAGTGTGGCTCCATCGTACACCGGAGGATTTTCCACCAATCGGATATCCTGAGCGGTTGGCGCCGCAATGCTGGCGTTGATGCATGTCTTCATCAGGATCGAAGCCGCCATGCCTGAAATTCCATTTGTGTCTTTTCAAACAAACACAAATGGATTTAAACGGTTGGGTTCTGGAAACCAGCCACTTTGCTAATTATCGCCAAGCTAAGGTTGGGTTAACCAAGTTCAAACATACTCCAACTTCTTGTTCAAACGTTCAACAACCTCCTCTCGGTGTCCTTCCAAGGGAACCAGTTGGTTTCAACACATGCCCAAGCCTGCAACCCCTAGGACGAGCAAAGAAATAGCGAGAGGCTGTAGGAAAAGCCAGTCCAAAGTCTCACTGTTGCTCTCTCCCACGCAACAGGTGTAAGCCACATGGCCACCACCGCCATCAAGATAGGATGCTCCCGGCACGTGCACGAAATAACCCGCTGGACAGGCAGCGCGCGCTGCTATGCTTCCACCGAAACAGGGGTTCCACTCCCAAAAGCCTCACTGCTGACAATCTGCACTGCATCAAACTACTAAGTTTTTTAATGCCAAGCCCACCAATCACATCGACCATTTCAAACCCTTGGTATATTGCGTACAATACTTCCAATGAAATACAAATGAAAGAGGCCAAGGCGCGCTGGTCAACGGGGCAAAGGTTGCGTTCGCCAGCAGATCCATCTGGGCACCCCAGAAAGACAATCTCGAAACTTCTTCTGAAGCCAGATGGCCCTCGTCTGTTTCTGTTTCTGGAGGAACCCCTATTTTGGTATGAATCAATGGGAAACCAAAACGGGTGGCTCGTCTTTGTTGAGGGCACCCATGTTGGGGGTGGTTGAAAGGGAAGCCAAAAGGAAAACCGCCATTTGGGCGGGGGGGGGGGGGCGGGCGTCCCCTAAAAGCACACATTGAAAGTTGAAGCCACGCCATTTTGGGTGTTCCAATCTTGAGACAGCGCCACCATTTCGGGAGCTGGAGTCCAGGGTTCGAAGCCCGAGGGCGCTCCTAGACTCGTCACAGGCCAGAGTTCAAAGAGTTGGTCGTCGTCTGCAGTGTCGAGTAATTACTCCGAGTTGCACCGTGGTGCCCTGCTTCGAAAAGTGAGTGAAGGAATCATAACCTTCGTGGCCCGAAGGATCTTAGGTACTGCCTTTCGGGACCTCCACTTTACCTGGACCAATGGAAAACCACAAGGTCAGATCCGCTCGATTTTGGACCGAGCCTTCGAAGTCAGTGAAGTTGATTCCTGGAAGGTCAAAGCAGTGGTCGCTGTGGAGGTGTCTGATACGCCCGTCTTCCCAGATCCAATCCTGGTACTGCAGACCCTGCTCGCAGCTGTTGATCCGCAAGGGTCTTCCGTGAAGTCCATAAGTTGCCTTGTAGAAACTGGCACATGCGGTGTACTCACGCAGGAATTTTTGGAATCCGTTCACAAGCCAGGTATTGTTCCAATACCAAACTTGAGAGTTCTCTATCGAGGTTTCATCACAGTCTTCCATCGCCATACGAAGACGACTATAAGCTGCGAGGCACTTTCGGGTGTCCACTGAGCTCCGAATGGTGAAGTACCCTTCTACATTTGCAGAAGCTGGTACCAAGCTCGCCCAAGCCAGAAACCAAAACATGGCTCGCATTGGCAAAAGCACTGCGACGTGCGGTTTCCGCAGGTCAAATCAAGTTAACTCAAACGGATTTGATTGAGCCAATTCTCGGTCGTATTGGCTCCTTTCAAACGCTCAGCATGGAGTTGAGCCAGGTTCATTCATGGTGTCCTCCTGGGAATTTAGTGAACCTCCAATTTCCTAAGGCCACTTTGGTGATCCAACGTCATCTCCACGAATTTTGACCGCTGCTCAGTTCCGGAACCCACTGAACAACTGCAAGTCCAAACGGGGTGTCAAACTAAGAATATGGACCCCCCAAATTGGAGGGACCCATGTAGCCTCCCATTGAAACAAAACCACCCTAACTCATGCGAAGCAGTGCTTCGTGCAGAGTTCAAAATACATATTGGCAAACATTCGCAACAACAAGAGCACACATCAACACAGACTCAACACTAAACACTAGCGTGCAACATTGACTGTCCGAAACATGCTGCAACAAACAGGTCAGGACCCCCAATGGCCCCAATGAAATATAGTTTAGTTGTCCATCAAATGCTTCAACAGCCCAATGTAGTCATATGTCGGCAATAAGCACAAGTAAGCCCAAGAGCAACTATCTGCAGAACAATCCAGCGTTTTAAGCGTTACTAGTTGAAATCGAGTTCATATGACATCTCGTCACACAGGCAATAAATAATAAACAAACAATTCCAAGTCCAAGCGATGATTTTGCCGAATCCGAAACGTGTTGCCAAGCAAAGGTATTCATACACATGTGACAATAGTGCTTGTAAGGACCAATGTGGCACACACCAACATATCACAAACTCGACTTTCCAAACAATATCTATAGAATCACGCCTTTACAACATGTCGAGATCTGACCCCTGCCTTGCACACATACAGATGGATTTGAACGTAATTGTATATATATATATACACATATTTAGATAGGTGTGCGCTGTGTGTTGGAAGGTGCATTTTGGGGTCGAGTCACAACAAAACCTACAAACAACCACAGGATCATATTCTTAGAGACAGATCCAAACATGTCTCTAGAAATCTATAAAGACTATAAAGACATAATATATGCGTATACACATAGATGCATGAATCGTCGCATTCGATCGGCACCGTCTGGGCACTTCCGGCTACAGATGCGCCGCTGGGGTCTAGCCGGAAGATCTGGTACCTGCGCGAGTCCCCAGTCTCAACCTGCATAGCTTTTCCATTTCCTTGGCCTGGGATACCAAAATTGACATTTTCTGACTCAGACTTAGACCCTAGGGAGACAGGAGTGAGTAAGTGGAAGCACCTTCTTGACAAGTGGGGATGGTTGACCCCCAATGGTACGACCAGACCACCTTCTCCAGGCTAAACAACGGCTACCCATAGCAGTACCATCCGGTAACTGGGACCAGGGGAGTCAAATAAATGGTAAAAATGACAAGCAGTAAGCATAGACACGCAGCCCAAAGCAAGTGCTATGCTACACAATGGCACTCATTGACAAGCTGGCCACTTGAAGGTGCCCAGGGATTCAAAGGACCAGGCCAAGTTCCTTGAAGAGAGAACAGGCGAAGACGAACACAAACAAGCAAACAAACAAACAAACAAACAAACCAGCAAGCAAGCAACTTAAAAGAGTCAATCAATTAAAGAAAGAAACACACAATCAAACAACACAAGCACATAAGCAAACAACAAGCACACAAACAAATAGCAAACAATGCAAATGCACAGAACATAAGAGTTCAACTTTAAACCATCAAACAGACAGGCAAGCAAACATGTGCAACCCTAACCAACCAACCAGGCGGACAAACCGACACAGACACAGACAAACAAGACAGACAAAATAGCTAAGATAGGCAAGACAGACAAGACAGACAAGACAGACAAGACACACCAGACATACAAGGCAGACAAGGCAGACAAGACAGACAAGACACAAGACAGACAAGACAGACAAGACAGACAAGACAGACAAGACAGACAAGACAGACAAGACAGACAAGACAGACAAGACAGACAAGACACACAAGGCAGTCAAGGCAGACAGACAAGCCTCGGCAAGATAGGCAGGCAGCCGGGCAAGGCAGGCAGGCAGACAAGGCAGGGACAGGGAGGCAGGCACACAGACAGGAGAGACAGGACAAATAGGGCAAACAAACAGGCAGGCAGGCAGGCGGGCGGGCGGCGGGTACAAAAACAGACAGACAAACAAACAGACCACGCCAAACATTCAAGCACCCGAAAAAATCATAACCCACCAACCCAGCAAGCAAACCAATTAAGGGAAACAGACCAAACCAACCTGTCAACATACCAAACAAACCAAAGAAACAATACCACACACACACACACAAACAACCCAACAAGCAACCAGCTTTTTGTCTTCTTGGTTGCCACCCCGCCAGTTCCCGAGGAACACCACGACAAGCGGCGCGCCCATCGGAGACCACGGTGAGGTCCCTGTGGCAGGCCAAAAGCCTGGGCCTGTGGCGAATGGAAGGCCCGCCAAACGACCCGCATGGCCCTGTTTGCAGTTGGTCCAAAGGGCAAAGGGGCAACTGACATCCAAAAAACCCACCCAAGGATAAAGGGGCTCATAAGCCTCAAGGCCAAAGGCAGGTTTGGGCCATACAGGTTGGAGGGACCTATTCCTGCCTGAGTCAGGACAAATAAGGCTGGTTCATGGATGTTGTGGGGAGAAACATTGAGTTGGAAGTCCCTGCCTATTCTGTACCTGACATATTGTGGGCAGAAATATAAACAAACAAAGCTTTAACGCGGCGCGGGCCGTGCTTCAGGTTGGGTGTCTGCTGAAAGAGTCAGTAAACGACGTTGGCATTCTGCTGAAACTGAAGAACATCTCAGCCTCCGTGGTCTATTATCGTGCATTGCTGGGCGGAGATGCCGTGGATCCACGCCAACTTATTTCAGCGCAAAGTACTTGGTGTCCTGAAGGCCACATGCAGGGCATTGGCACGTGGATATTGTTGGTGCAATGCTACGTTTCCAGTTCTGAACCACTGTATACATGTCAAAACACAAAGTATTCTTGGGTATTTCACCCACTTACAGAAATGCACAGGTGAAACAAGAATGAGCCAAAAACATAGGTGCAAACCAATCGAGCCGACAACAACCAAGCACTCAAAACAACAATGACACAGTGTGTCAAGCCACATTTCGCAAAACATCCACTCGCGTAGAAATCTAAAAGCAGCAGCAGCAGCAGCAGCAGCAGCAAAAACCAAAGATGGGCGTGTACTAAAGAGGACTGTCTGGTTTCCCATCAATAAACATCCGAAAGGTGTTACTGGGTTTAGGAAAAGATCCAGCTAACCCTTCACGCCCTGACTTTCCTTGAAGCACCATCCCAAGACAAGTCCAGTGGGTCAAATGGGGTAGACGTGAAATCCCTCGAGAAAATTCACGCTGCTCGTTCGGCCAATTGTGCCCTAGGGAAATCGCTGGACTGTGAGTTGCGGTGTTGAAGCGTTGAAATCACGGGCTTTGCAAATCGCAATGTGAGGCCCCATTCCACTGACACCCGGCAGCTCCCAGGCCACTCAGAAAAGAAACGCAGCGCCAAGTTTCGAAAACCGGACAGGTCAAGTGAGGCGTGGAACTCTCCGCGAGACTGCGAAACTTGAGCCGCTGACGAGCCACACACGCCAGGATAGAACATATAATTGGAGACTCTAGAAACGGAAATCGGACTTCCAAAGGGGTCCTGGGAGATTGCGTGTTAGCCTGGGGAGGGTATCATTCAGTTGAACACATGGGATCCCGGAACAAAGCGAGGGAAGTTGAGCCACTATCGAATAAGCAAAGCACATCAACCACAACCAGGTAAAAACACGTACAACGTAGGTATTCCAAGGAAACCAGGCCTAAATATATGTATGTATCTAGTAACCACAAATCCATCAGGGACCCTACTAACACCCCAGAAACCCCCCAAGTGGTAAGGCCTTATTTGGCAAACCAACAAAATGTTCACGCTTCTACCTGTGAAGTGGGTCTGGGTCAAAGCAGGTCCAGGGCTTCGTGCCGGAAGCTGTCGCTGGGCCAAATCACCTGCGGTTGCTCCTGAACGGAAATGGGAAGGCTCAGGGGTCCTTCCTCAGTCAGAACGAGCTTCCCTTGACTTGAAAACAAAAACAAGACAACCTAGTAATGTTGACCCAGAACCAATAAACCCTGGTTGACTAGTAGGAAGAAACCCCCCTTTTAGTGGGAGTCCTAGACTTTTGTAGGTGACACCCCTATTAGGGCCCCCTATTGTTACTAGGATTTTTATTCATCCAAATCTCCTACCAAAGGGATAACATGTCTCAGAGCGTATAACACATTGATCCAGACTTCCCTTCACTTGGCAAACTAAGCACGCGCCTGGCTTGCCAATCTCCTTCCAACTGGATGAGATTCATAATCTGGTTCCAGAAAAATAATTTGCCACATGAGTTGGACACTCTGCGGTATCCTGATTTTGACTTCAGCGATCGAACAGACTTAACCAGACTTAGATTATCTGCAACAAATCGTGCTTCTTTCCAATAACAACTTTTGATGGTTGAAAAGGAACATGATGGAACACCAAGTAGGCGAAAGACAAAAGGTAAGCAATCCATGTAGCCAGGATCAAGGGGTCAACAAAAACTTCCCGCCCGAGATACGGTGAGCAGTGAGGGATGCCCCAGCCATTTGAGAGACCGAAAGACCTCGCTCCAGTGGGCAAGGGTTGATAATTCTTATATATGGGTGTGCATTGGAATACTTGGTCTTTGTTGTCGTTGTCAAATTTAGGTGGCAATTCATGCCCTATGGTCAAGATGCATAGCCATATATAAATCCACAGTCAGGCCGAACGAGGCCGTAACACCATGGGGGCTTGGGGGGTTGGCCCCCACTTCGTTCACTTCAGTCAACTCCTTGCTTGCGGGAAAGGGGCAGGAAGCTAGTTGTTGATCTCCTCGAAAGGTGGCACGAAAACAATAGAAAACATAATATAAGTCCTGTCACCAGGACGAAATCTGGGGTGCACCGAACATCATCATACTTTCACATATCCCATCGTTGTGGAGACCCCATAACTGTTCAAGACACACCGCGGGGATTCAGTTCCTATGGCTAGCTGGTTCGAGGTCCCTTGGTTCGAGGGAAGCCTCAGGGTTTTCCCTTTCACTTCCCTCAAGCCACCCCCAAAGGGTCCGAACTTCCATGAAATCGCCAGGACAGTACTTATGAATGGACATGAATGGGTCAGTTGGGTTCCCAAATCAGTCAGGTACTGGTAGAGGTGCCGCTTGGGATAGCTAAATCCAGCTTACTTTCTACCCCAAGCGTTATAATCAAAACCTGATATTGAAGAAGTCTACCCAAAGCCATGTAATGAATCAACTCAAGAGGCCCTTAACTATGAAGACCTTCGGTTTGAATCAAGCTTTTTGACCCATAGGGTGTTCGGGGCTGGCTTCCGACAAAGTGACCCGCGACTCCTGTGCCATCGTTGCATACCTCAGGGCCGCGAGTGACGGACGCCAGTCGGATGCTCGTTTTTGGAGCCCACAATCTTGGCAAGCGGAAAACCACTCTGGTCTTTGCAGCCCTGCCCTGAACATGAACAGAACCCCTAAAACACCTGAGCCCTGAACAAAATGACCTTCTTCCCCAAAGCACCTTGGAAGAATGGAGGGGGGCCCGGTTTCTCCCGTTTTTGGTGTTAAAGCTTGTTGCCCCCCTTCTCTTCCTCTCCAACCGTAGACGACCGAGAGTAGCTCACAGTCAGAATCAACGGTAAGCGGTCGGCAAACCCATTTTGTGCGCCTGGCTGGGGCTCTTTGCAGATCCCTTGTGTCGCTGCCACACGTCGTCTCCAAACTCAAAGGGAATTCCCTGGGTATCAAATCGAAAGCACCTATCGCCTCTTTGTTTCCCCTGGGCTTCGATGGTAGCTCGGGAAAAGCGTTGATCAGTACTGGACTTGCAACCAGCACGCTGCCGTCAAAAGGGGTCAAAACAGTCAAAATCAAGACACGGTGGGAATAATGATCCCAGAAGCCCACGCAGAATACACAAACACAAGCAGCACAGGCACAAACGCACACACACACACACATATGAAGCGCAGCATCTATACAAGGGTTGATACGGCTGCCCTTGTTTGAGACCTCCTTTTTGATGGCAGCACAAAACTCTGCAAAGACGCTCCTGTGAGTGGACAAACTCCTGCACCGGTTGATACCGGTTGACTCCCTACAAATTGTGGGACAATCTGCAAATCCGAAACTCTGCGGCAATTTGATTCCAGTGGAAGCGAAACATTTTGTCGATGGGTGGACAGTGCTAAAGATCCAACCAAATAGCAAACCAGCAACTGGTGCGACAGTTTTGTTGACCCATTTGTCTTCACCTTCTGGGTGCCGTGCACGCGGGGCTCTGCGGGAGCCTACAGCTCCGAAGTCGATGCACCGACACTGGCCCAGCTCGGAGTCTCGGGTTCAGTTGCATCATTCTGCTAAAATATAGCATGCTTTAAAGGAAGAGACGCAGCTTTGCTCGGCATCCGACCTGCCAAAGAACATGAGAAAACACGGTGTCCTAGACGCGGCGATTCGTGACCTCCAACGAAACACACATTGCATTCTTCGAGGGCATGTTTTTGAGGGTACCCTTTGTGGTGTTCAAGGGACGCCAAAGGAAAAACGTTTTGTTGAGTTGATTTTTGTTTGGGGGGGGGTTCACCGGTGAAGAAGTTTTGCCTGGCAGCAGCGACTGTTTACGGGTAATGAACCAGAAAGCGGCAGCGATCCCCGGATGACTGCCAGTTTCCCTCCAAGGGCGGGGCAAACCAGTACGTCATGATGGCCCAGAGCAACATGGCCAGCCTCAGCCGAGCGCTGAAACCCAAAGAACCTCGAACGGGGGACTAAGCATTTCTTAAGGCCAAATGGCTGCGCGTGCGTGTGTTTGGCTTTCCTCTACCCGAAGCTTGGCCCAAGTCTGGGTACTCTATGCTCACATTCAGCTTCATATGTTGTCCCTACAATATAACACCATTGTGGAGCAGACCCAGTCAAGGCCGAACAAAGACACAGCCAATTTGACAAGAAACCAGGGTTATTGGAGTACTTGCCCGAATATTCTAATGTCGGGGAAAGCTGTGTCAATGGCCGTGCAAAACTGACAAGTTCGATCTTGAAAAATAGAAACCACATAAGAACTGACAGACTTAGTAGAACAAACCCGGGCGTCTGAACTCGGTTCAGGAGGCTGCTCAACACATCTTGTAGCGGTTAAAATTATCTTCTCACTTACAACTTGCTTTGAGCAAGGCGTGACTGACATGAGCTCCGGATGTGGCAAAACTCGCTTGGTTGGCCAGAGAGTCCCAAACTGGCATGCTCCGGCTGCGTCAAATTGAGCCGTGCGGGCCACCGCCAAAGAGCGCCATAGAAAGACGAGATTTCCACCTGGTGGGTGTGCGCGGTGCGACCCGCAATGACCAGGAAGTTTGAAGGACACAGACTTTGCGGCTGGCTGTGCCTTGTAATCTTCATCATCAATGTGTCGCAGAGCTGTTCTCAGAGCAGGGGACATTTAACAGGTCTTGGGATTGAACAACCCTATGGATCGAGCTGGGAAAACGCAAGGCATGGATCTGCTTGGTTTCATCCCCGACACTTCTCCATTGAGCGCATACCCTTGTTTTGGGTCAGTTTAATGGAAACCAAAAGGAACGTCACCCATTGACGGAGCAGCTCTATTTGACACATGCCCCTTTTAAATCACGTTATTGCTTGCACCCCCTCCTTCCCAAAGCCCTCCTCTTGGTTTCTCCAAACCAAACGCCACACGATTGGTTGCTAAAAGGCCCCCAACGCCTACATGCATCATTTTTTTTGTGGGTGAGTGGGAAACCACATTTGCATTTCCAACCAACAAAGATTCGAATCCAAGCAAACAGCAGAGTTTTGCTTTAAGCCACCCTCAACAGGGTTGGCTTCGCTTTAACTTCCCTTCAAACAACCCCCAGAAGGAGCAACCAAACAGCAGCGAAGAAATGGCTTGGTCTCTAAATAGAGGGCCGCCAAAATGATGGTGTCTCTTTGGTGTCCCTTCAAACCACCCAAAGGGGAATGCAAATTAGACCCAGACTGGGCTCTCCGTGCCATAGCCCTGCGCTGGCCAAAATCGTGGAATGCGCTGTGCTCCTACGGAGCGTTCTGCATATCGCCCTGGATCTGCTTTGGTTTGATCCATATCCCGAAAGACCACCCAGGTCTCTACAGTTCATTTCCAAGCAGTTCCCTGTACAGCGGTTGCAGTTTGAGTGACAGCTGAAGCAGAAAACCGGGTCTGAACAGTTGCCAGTGCATTGCGAGCATTTTGGACTCCTTTCAGGCACAGGCACTCTACCCATTAGTTGCTCTAGGCAGCTACAACTTCTCCAAAACTCGTGGCACACGGAGCTTGCCGAGCACTCGTTGCGCCACTTGGGTCTGGAAGAATTCCATTGCACCTCCTAACATCCATAGAAGCCGTGAGCAATAATTGAAGGCTGGTCTATGGGGAGCGGACCTTCATCCCAAAATGTGTACTGCATTTGTCCAAAACCCCAAACCCATTCCAGGGGGCTGATGTCCATCCAGTTTCGACAGTCAATGACCCAAAAACGACAATCTCCACGACTCCTTGCCTGCACATTCTCTCTCTCTCACACACACCCAATGTGGAAGCTGGAAGAAGCCACCTTCCGGATCTGCGCTTTAGGCGGCGCACCGTGGTACTATTGATGCCGACATCTAGCAACGTTTGGAGTTTGCTGGCAATAGGTCGTTTCGCGACGTTCCAGGAAGCTGGGTTTCACGATCCCGTGCCTGACGTAGACCGCCAAAAGGAAGAAAGCTGATGTTTGCCCCCAAAAGCTGATGTTTGACCCCCCCAAAAAAGAGGTGCAACTGGACCAAATGTGGTCCTGTGGGGCCCGATTTGGCGGTTTAGTCAGGAACCCAACAGTAAAACGCAGCCACGGTCCCACTCCTCTCCACCAATTTTGAACCCACAGGGCCCAAATTCAGAGGAACCCAACCAAGAAGCCCTGGGTCACTGCTCACTCCGAATGCCGCCTGATGTGGAATCGGGTGGCTTCTGCCTGGCTGCCCGAAGCGCCGAAGCGCTCGAATCAGCGGTCGGGAGAGGCTGGGGGGTTGGGGTGGTTAGGAGTTGGGGGTTGGGGGGTCACGAGTTGCTGGGGGTTCGGGGTTAGGGATGGGGGGATGGGGGTTGGGGGGGGGCCAAGTGGCCTTAGCCCTAAGATGGTTCGTAAAGGACCGCCATTGTTTCCTCTTGGGGGAGATGGACCTTTAAAACTTCATGGTCTTCGACTTGGGCAAATTTTGGCCCTCAACAGATTCCGGATGTTGAAACTTGAAACGTAACATGTTTTCCGAAAAGGGTCTTTGCATTTCTATGTTGGTGGGGCGGAAATGCGTCACAGCATTAACTCCAGAGTAGCCAACGGACGCTCGTGGTGAAACCGAAGCGATTCCCGACGTACCAACATTTCAAAGGCTGCAGAAAAAAACGAGTTCAAAGCGGAAAATCGGTGCAAACAAGCATCCAGGAAACTGATTATGGATTGGCCACCCAAAGGTGATAGTCAAAACTCCCCGAAACGGAAAGGTAAGGAACGCCACTGTATTTGGAAGTAATCGCCTCAGCAATGGCTACAAGTATCTATAAGCCTAGGCATTGGCTGAGAGTTCTGAGCCCTTGCGGAACCCCAGTGAATGTATCTAGTCTTTCAAACGGATCAGTGTATGCCCCTGCAAGCGCAGACATGTTGGAAGGAAACCCAAGGAAGCCAAGGAAATTTCCACCAGGGTGTTGATCATCTTGGCCCGGTCTGTGGCAGGATCGGAAACTGGGCCGCCCTGCTATGGACAAGAACTGGTCCTCGTCCTCACGCTCTGCGCATCCATCTGTCTGTTAGAGAGACACTGTCCATCGGGGGCTTAACAAACCGAATCCGGTTTTCTGGGTGCATCCCCATCCCATACTGGACACATTAGGGCGCTTCCGTGGTTGTACATTGCTTTGCTTTTAGCAACCAAGAGGCACACTGGGAGTCGTTTGTAGCAAGGGGGCTCCTTTGATGCATGTGGACTAGATACCACCGAAATTCTGAGGTGGGAAGTGTTGTACAATTCTCGCTGGTTCCGTAGATTCGCCCAACAACGGGCGTGAATGTTGTGTTTGCTACTAAAGTAGGTCTTGCAATGTCGTCCCATAAAGCTATGAGGTGCAGAACCTATTGCGTGTCCCTCTCTCTCTCTCTCATTACTCTGGCCCGGCCGGTCAAAGCCGCACAGAGCTCACCACACCTCAGGACGAGCAAGGCAGAAAGCTCAGGCACTCAGCGAGTGAGACAGTGCGGCTCAACTGAATTTTCCGCAAAACGACATGGCTGTGGCTCAGAAAAATGTACTAACATGAGCCACACCCACATATCAACTGGCAAACTCTGCAAGCGTCGCCAACTGGTGCAACTGCTTAGGCGAACTTCGGTGTGCCATCCCGACGCCCCAGAGGTCACCATTTGCTTCACAAAATTGAGGCTCCCTAATAGTTGCATTTTGAGGGGTTCTCACATTAAGAGGATTTAGAGGATGCCCCTATGGACCAAGAAATCTGGTATTATGTGGGGTCTGCCAAAGTGAGAAGACACGAATTATCCATCTAGTGGTTTCCCTCAAATCGAAGCTTGGCCTGCTAGCTGTCAGGGCTGAAAAAATCCATCTTCTAGAATCGGCTATTCAAAATGGAGTGTTGGCCAATCCGATGTTCCATAATCCCTATTGGAAAGCTACTACAAAGAAAACCCCTTGCAGAACCTAAGGCAAGGAGTAAGGATTGCCTTTGAACAGCCCAGCTAAAGGTTGACTCCCCATTCGAAATCAACCATCGCTACGTTCAACAGAACGTGCTTTGCCTCGCTCGACATTTTCTGGGCGACTTCCTCGCAACCGCCCCAAGTTGACACTTTGTGCCAACGATAATTCTCTGAACAAGAGAGCAACCATTTGCTAGTTGATAAGTAGAACGCCCATCACAATAGCAACTTTTCCTGAACTTTTCAGATCAAGTTTCCGAGACCTGAAGCGCCCAAAGCATTGCTGGGTGAGATCGATTTCCACCCAGCTGAGCTTGTTAGAGCTTGCCCAAAGATCCATGATTTGCGGGCCCATGAACCCAAATGACCTGAAGGCAACTGAAACGCAACCTCCTTCATGGGTTTCACAGGCAATCAGTCCCCCATATGGGTGTGGCTCAAAGTTAAAGAGCTAGGGTCACGCAGCTTCTAGTCTTTGGTTCCATTTACCAAGGTGCCATTTTGATACGTTTATGTGAGCCACACCGCTATGGGACTCCATCCCCCAACAAAAACGGGTTGCGTTCCCCGAACTAAAAACTGGGGGCTTGGAAACCTCCAACTCGCTCGTTTGGGACCCGTTGGTCTGCATGGCAATCCCTGTCCTGCTCATTTCCCTGCAGCAAGAAAACAACTCAACAAGGGCAATGTACTCGGTTCTGAAAAAGGGGGTCTGGAAAACTAGTCAATTTCTAGAGGGGAACTAAAAATCATGGTCTATTTGGCACCCAGACTGATTAGATTGCGGGGCAACTACTTTGAAACCGGAATCATGCGCATATTTTGTTTTGCCCCTTCCATTGCGAAAACAGATCACACCCTCTCGCTCTCTCTCTCTCTCGACGCGATCCAGCAGTCCGTTGGCCAGCCGATGTGGTCGGACATGTGCCTCAACTGCACAAATTGGAATCCAAGTTGATCTCCATTTAGTCATTTAGTCTATATTGAGAATTTTCTTGAGGGAACCCTTTGTGAGAGGAACACCCACCATGTTGGGGCTCCGATTCCTATTTTAAGACACCCGTGTGAGTGCTTCTCCAAATTGATTTTAGACAGCCTTTATCTGGTCTCAAACTCCCAGCATCGGTGAAGGCACTTTTCTCAAGAATCACTGCCGACTCAACGGGCTCATGGTTCCCGGCAACGGACATCGTGGTAATGTTGGACACGCTGTAATGGCAGTAGCCTGTATTGTGTAAAGTATTTTTCCTAATTCAGGGTTGTTGGACTGCTTTGGAGTCCTCTATTGTGGCAAGTTTTCCCCCAAAACACAATCCCCAAGAAGAAATGCCGGAAAAAATCCGGCGCGAAAACAACTAGCCAAAAAAGCCTGGCAAACAGATCCGGGCAAACATTTGGAAAACATTTTTGACATGGTTCCCAAACCATCAAATTCAAGGTTAACATATTTACAGAGAAGTAAAGGCAACCGTCCTCTTTATAGGGGCTGAGAGTCGAAGGCCCGTGGCTGAGTGGCTCGTCTGGGTGGGGCCGGATGGGTTCCTGCCCTTGCCCTTGAAGGTCTTTCAGGATGCCCACGCAATCTTCGAGGCTGATCACCTTGAGCAAGTCCTGGGCCATCTTGTCCAGGCTCTGCCACGCAGCCACGACCTTGTCCTCCTCCACACCGGCGAGGGCGCTTGCCAATTGCCCGCCATTCAAGTCTTTGGCTCCGAGTACGACACGCAGCAATATTTGGAGCGCGGTATGGCCACCTCTAAGGATCGCTCGGTGTGCTCCAACTGCCGTAAGATGCAGTGCCAGTCGCTAAAGGTTGACTATTTCATGCACTTGCACTGCCATGCCGTGCATTTCAGCCGCTCTGAAGATAAACACCACCACTTCAGGGAAAACAAATCCAACAGAATCCAATTGAAGCTGGCCGGGGCAGGCAGCGCTACAATGAATCCGCCGACGCCAGTCGAGCGTGTAGATGGCAGTCCGCAACTTGGTCTTCCTTCGGAATCTCTTATCAAAGCCGAAGGCTTTCGGGACTGCTACTTTTTGGGCATGCTGTGCTGGGTGTCCAAAACCCTGTATCTTTCCAGTGTTTTTGGGTGTTGCGTGCTAAAGATCTGCGTTTCACCTAGGTCTCTGGGTGGGGGGGGTTTCCCCTGGACGCGCAGGATCTGCATCCCCAGCATCATCAGGATTATCTTGTTGCCATGAATTTGGCTCTTTTTTTGCAGATACTAGTGGTGTGTTGCTTTTTCAAGCGATGTTGGAATTGGCCTGTTTGGGGCTTGGGTGGGCCAAGTGCAGTGATACTTTGAGGAACTGTTGAAATTTGCAAAATTGAGTGTTTTTTTCCCACCTTTATGGACTATCGGGGGGGCTATGAGGGGGGGGGCTACTTCCTTTATCCATAAGGGTTGGATAAGCTTTGGGAAAGGACATGATTCTTATTGGCTCATGGGCTTATCCTCGGCTTATCCTGGGGCTTGTCCTCGGCTTATCCTGGGCTTACACTGGGCTTATCCTCAGCTTATCCTCAGCTTATCCTCAGATTATACATAAGGGCTTCATAGACCCTTAATAAGGTTTTAATAAGGTCTTATTAAGGCCTTATTCGAGGGCTATTAATCTCTTAATAAGAAACGTGGGGAACAAGGCGCTTCCAAAAGCGTAGGAGCACCCTCCTGAGATGCGCCGAACGAACCAAGTGGAAAAGCACTCGCTTGTGACTTGTGATGGAAAGACCACACTAAAACAAAACACGTAAGACCATTTGCCACCAGCAGAGGGCCTGAAGTAAAACCATGCTTTTGCAGCTCTCCACTGTGGGATCTGCTGCTTAGGCTTGGATAGAGAAACTTTCTCATTATTACCTTCTTCAAATTATTGGGGTCTCAATAAGAGCTTACCTTTTTTTGGTGGATAAGCACTTATTAAATCCCTATTAAAGCCTTGATAAGCCTATGATAAGACCTTATTAAAGGTTTATTCAAAGAAAGCGCCACTACACCCTAATCCTGCGTTTGTGCATAATTGAAGAAGCCCCCCCGCCCTCCCATAGCCCCCCCGGGCATTCCATGACACCTGTGCAGAGCAGTTACTGCGAAACATCCCCTGCATTATCGTGCGTTTGGAAGTCTATTCTAGGGTATTTGAGGGGGGTTGCTGGAATCTGCTTTTGATGATTGATGTTGGGAAATATCGAAAAAACTGTGGTTTTGAACTTTTGTGTGGCTAGCCGGCTGCATTCCCAGCGACACCTCTGGTATTTTCTGTGTTTGGTCAATTTTGCGTGTCTGAAAGTCTTAAAATTTTGGATGCGAAGGTTGGGTGTGTTTTTGTATGTTGCGTGGTCGCATCCCTTGCATTTCCAGCCTCCTCAGCATCTGGGACATCCCAGTGTATTAATAGGGGGCTGTCCACTGGCGTCGGCGGATCGCGTAGCGATTTCAATAAAGCTAGCTAACTAACTACCTAACTAACTATCTAAATTTTAAAAGTAGATCAATACATCAACACAGATGAATGAAAACACAGAACCAATCAATGAACAAATCAAACGCCAACTAATAAATGAATTAAACAAAGAATAAACAAATACATTAAAACAAACACAAGAGTAATAACAATAATAGGCAAAAGACAAAAATATATACATAAATACATACATACACACATACATAAGTATACAAGTAAATAGATACCTAAATGAACCACTACGAAAACATGCACAATTCAACAAACATGACTACATACATAAATAAACAAATGAACACATAAACAAAACCAACGACAAGTACACAATGAATAGACGAAATAGATACAATACCAAATAAGTAAATACGTCAATAAACAAATAAACCAACAAACAATAAACAAACAAACAATAATGTTTAGTTGGAATTCAACACTCCTTTTCAAGCTCCTGGTGCAGCTCTTTGAAGGCTCCTTAATGAAGGCTCCTGGTCCAGCTCCTTTTCACACTCGTTATAAGGCTTTGTACAAGGCTCCGTGTAACTCGAACGGCTTCAATGCAGCACATGCACGGCGAAGCAGTGCAGTGCTGGTCACGCAAAGGTCGCACGCCTGTCGAAGGGGACGTTTCAAAGCAAACGCGCCCAAGGCAGCGTGGATCCGGCTCAAAGTTGAATCCCAAGGTGAAGTCTCTGAAGGCAATCAACAAAGCTGCAAGGGAAGCTGTGCCACAAGAAACCTGAGCGCTTTCCTCACCCGAGTGAGCAGGGAAGCAAATTAAGGCCGTTCAAAGCGGGCCTCAACTCGCTCAAGGCCCCAGCGCCCTTCCCTAGTTTGAAACGGAAAGGGGGGCTTATCAATCAAAAGACCAACCGTCAACTCATGAAAACTGAGCGGGTAGCAGTCCCAGCAGGCATCTTCATTGCGAACAATCCGCTGCAAAATCTGTACAGCAAACTCAAGTGGTAGTGAGAAGCCAGGCTGCGGACTCAACAACTGTTCCCAATTCACGTCCAGCCGAGACGAGATGGGTACCTCAAACGAATTCCTGGCAGTCTCAAAGTCCTGCGCAAGCTGATTGTCTCAAGCACTGATTCAGAAACCAAGGCGGTTTCCTTAGTGACAGAAAGATACAAATCGCGGTGCTGTCTCACCTGAGCGTGATGATCCGAAGCGGCCACCCACAGCCGAACGAACGAAGCCGTACGATTCTCATTCTCCCTTGAATGGCATCGGCTGAATGTCGCATAGCCTTGTGGATATGGTCCTTCTTGACTCGAATATTGCAAGTCCAACCCTGTTGGAGTGGCTGGACAGACCAGATGTCATAGACCTCAATATCATGAAGCTGATGCTGTACCCACTGCTTTAAAATGTACCACTTCTTAGCCTGTATAGCAGCAGTGGACTCAACATGATCTGAAAGTGCAGTGACTCTGAGGACACCAGCTCGCTGCGAGACTTGTATTGACGTCTGAACAGAAGGGGCTTTGGGCGCAATCTCTTTCCCGAAGGAGTGAACAAAAACACTAAGCAGAACAGTGTCTTCAACACCATTTCTGAGCCTTCGCGTCTTGACCTGCTTCTCCTGTGGAGCATGTCGAGTGATGGGGGCAGGCTTGGGAAGCACAAAGGCAATGGACTGAGAGTCCCCTGGGCAAGACAAACATCCAGCAGGATTTCCGGAAGGAAGAGATGGACGCCATGAAAGATGATCAACTGGACACCATGCGGAACGATCCTACGACTGCCATTTTCGACTATCAGGTCTCATCCGCGGAACGTTTCAAGCACGTGAACAACGAGATGTTCATGAATGGCTCTCAAGATTCCGACTCACACAGTCCGCTGATGGTCTACATCCGCAGCAGATCTGCCACCAAGCAGCGAAACTTTGAGCGATCCAAGGAGTACTTCAAGAAGAAGCAACCCTGGACTCATCAAGAGTATGAGGAATACAACAAGCAGCAGTGGGGCAATCAGAAGCAGTGGAAAGACTACGGCGACTCGACCTGGCACGACTACGGAGACTACGGCAGCCAATCCGACAGCAGCTAACGGTGGAACCGTGGACTATCTGATGAAGCTGCCACCTCTGGCATCCATTCGACCTCCTTTGGTCTGAGTGTTTTTCAAGCTCGACTGAGAGAACACCCGAAATCGGCACTACGAATTTCAACCGAATTGATCCTCACCGCCAACAAGACTATTCAGTGAGAGATCAATCGTTTCACATCCGTCCCGCATGTACATAGCGTTGTACATCATCTTTTAGATACATCTAGGTATCTCACAGAATCAGTACAGACTGTTTCCCATTTTGCAAATCAAGACATTTTATGCGCGCAGAAAACAGGATGAATTCAGCATTTCAATACACATGGCTACGGCATAAATCAAGGCTACGGCCGAAGGCCAAGAAGCCAAAGGTATTTCATATCTAGTGCCGGCGATCAAAAGAAATGTGTGTCTGTTTTTGTGTCTGTTTTTCAATGTTGATCGCCCGCAACCATTTGGCTCAAGGCCCTTGTGTACCATAGCAATACTCATGATTGCGTGACAAAGGAACCTTTGCAGGCCGCTTACAGGATTGTACAACAAGACAATCCATCAGGGACAGTCCATCCTCCAATCATCCATATTGGCATATTGGACTCTCTCCGGAATAGATCCAGGGACCGAATAAACGACCTCTACTACCACAGGGTACCAGTTCCCTTCTGGGATAGGCACCCCCGGCAGTGGGCCTCAGGGGGGGCGTCCCGCGAGTGGGGAGGGGTTATACATATACACACACACACACATATATATATATATATACATACATGTATGTATATATATATATACACATGTACCTTTGTGCGCGCTTCATTTCCCGTGGGTGCTGACCAGGACTGCAATTGGCAGCTTGGGCTCCGTGGAACTCGAGGCCGCGACTGGGCCTCTTCCGAGCCTCGCGCTTAGGCGGTTAGCCCGTGAACGGGACCCAATCCGCGCGAAAATAGGCTCTAAAATGGATGGTAGGGGAACCCTCCCACGTAAGTTACCCTGTCCACTAACATGGACGACTCAGGGGTCCCGCCAATTAACACGGATGACCGAGGGGTCCAAAACTGTGGTCTGGTGAAAGGACCGTATGGGTTCCATGTTCTTGGGCAGGAGGGTGTGGACGGCAAGAAGAGGAAAGCCACCCATTGGGGTCCCTTCACATGCACGAATCTTGGCACAGCCATGGTGCTACACAAAACGTCATGTTGAGTCTACCCTAAACGTTTCCTATTTTACAAAGTCATTTTGGAGGAGACCCCCCCTTTTCTGCAAAACCAGCTGACTGATCTGTAAGCTATTCGCTGAGAGTCCAGAAGTTTGAGACCATTTGAATTTGGTACGGCCAGCCCGAAAAGAAAAGAACCAGCTGACAGAGCGCTGAAGATGCTGGAATATGGGTGGCTCGCCTGTTTTGAACTACCCATTTTTGGGGCTCCCCTAGTTTGAGACAAACCCATATCAGGTGACCCCTTACCATCGAAGCTGTTTTGCAAGGAATGAGACCCAGATACGAAACTGGATGGGGGGTCTTCATTGGGAACATGCCTATGGGTATGGAACAATTGAACGAAGACCTAAACCATATCCATCCTCGGCACAGCACACTAGACTCCAATGCTTCGATGGCTGCCTTGAGCCTCACTACATCAGGCACCACTACATCTGCAGCACCTGCGCAGACACATGACCATCCAAACTCATCCTTCGTCTGTAGTTCGCTTCCGAGAGGAAACCAGATGCCACGCGAGCCTTGATTCCTTCATGCCTGGCTGTTCCAGGCTGGCACTCCGAACAGATTCCAGCATCGCCGGGCAAGTGGTTTGACCAGGTCAATTGCGCGCTGTCCATACAGCAACGGATACCGTGAGGACATCGATTGCAAAGCCTCGCCAACGACCTGCTGCATCGACGCGCTCTTCGTTTCCACTGGCGTGCCATCCTCTTTTGGCGTCCAATTAATAGTGGGCCACTTAGCACCCGACTTGAGAATCATAGTCTGACTCAGGGGCTAATCTTGGACACCCTGCAAATTAGACTTTTTGGGGTGGAAAGGAAAACAGAAAGAAACCCAACAAGGCGAAAAGTTGAGAAGGCAAGTGATCCGTCTGGCAGTGAATCTGGTACTCAAAGGGTCCACCTGGAGTCTCCTTGACCCCCAAAAAACAGGCCCTTACCCGAAAAAAAGGGGGTTATGGATCCATTTTTTAGGGGTCAGAAGGAGACTCCAGTTACCCAAAACGTAAGGAATCAAAATGGGGGCTGTCGCCCGCCTTCCTCTGCCGCCTCGCGGATGCTTCGACGCTCTGCGCACCTTGGAAGCGAAGTTTGCTTATGGACCATAAAAGGAACGGTGTTCCTTGATTTTCCTGTTCCCCAAAAGGGTAGCCTCACAGCCAAATCCGAATGACACTTGAGGGAATCCACGAGTTACAGCTCTTGGTCTAGGTGCCTGGTTTCCTTTTGGTTTCCCTTTCAAACCATCACACAGGAGGCACGTCACCTCGCATGAAAAGCATAGTTGGAATGGACAAACGGCCAAGCAAACGCACTTGAACATAACTCCGAACCAAGTTCAAACAGAATGGCAAGAGCCACTCTACAAGGAGTTCGTGTGAGAATCTGGTCCATTACTACTAGGACGCATCACTCTGAACTCTCGGGTACTCTAGAAACAGCTACTTTCAGCAGCTGTGGCATGTATGTTCTCAGTTGCCCAAAGGAACCAGAAGCAAAAGGTTAAACTTTAGGTTCCATGACTAAACATGGACCAAAGTAAGGATACCAAAAGGTGAAAAGTCGATTCGCTTTGGGCAAGTGAGTGCTTATTCTGGCCTAGAACACAACACTTGGAGGAGAGCCGAACCCCTCAACGTCCCTCCCTTGGGTTGCCTGATATGATTTGGCCGAAGGGTTGTCACCACTCCGGTCACTGGTAGGTCCCAGCACTCTTTCGCCCACGCCCGCAAAATTTGCAGACCGCCGATGGCTAACGTCGCGCACTCCCACAGGCTTCGAGCTAAGCTGCCGCCTGACTAACTCTTCGCCTCCCTTCTCCTCAAGCAGTAAGCTCACCAGGTCGCCCCATTCATGTTCAATGGACGGCCCTCCCGAAAAAAAAATCGGAACATGGGTAACATGGGTGTCACTCAACTGGGCACTTGGCCCAGCCCCCGGGGTACAACACAAATCATACATTGACATGTTCTGTCATACAATATTTGGTCGACCTTCAAATACAACCAATATGGGCCATATGGGTCTGTCTTTAGGGGTCCCTCCAACATGATTTTTCTTTAAACCCAAACAAAACATGGGTTCCCTCAAAAGACGAGGCACCCATCCATTGAACTCGACCCAAACGCTTGCGCGCGCCTACGCGCGCGCTTCTGCGCGCCGTCACGACGTGCTGGGCTCCCGGCGGCGCGATCGGCGCCTCCCCGCACAAGGCACTGGCGCGGCCGCAGGGCCTGCACTTGCGGCCGAACGCCATAGCTGTAAACCTTCCATTTGCTGAAGCCCCCTGGAAAAAAGTATGAAACAAAATCCAGTAGTGATAGATTCCAAAGAGAAAACCAAAAAGGGGAAAATAACACACATTCTTAAGCAAATGGACGAAACCTGCATCTAGCGCAGTTTGGGCTTTCCGCTATTTATAGCCAAACAAAGGAGGATGAGGATGTTGGGCCAGCTGTTACGCGTGGGCTTTCTCGTCGCCTGGGCTGCAGTGGTCTTTCGCAGACTTAACTTTTCCTGGCTGAAAGGGAAGTGAGAGAACCTCACCGGACAGCAAAGCAGAAAAGTGAGTTGAGTCAAGGTGGTGAAGCCCAAGCTTCCAACAACTCAGTGAAACTTGATCCTTTTTTCCTTAAATATTGTTTAAGTAAACCGGGGTTGCTCAGAACCCGGCCAAGGACCTAAGAGTTTGCGTGCAAATCAATGGAAATCTGTGATACCAATCTAAGTCATTCCCAAAGTAATTTGTCACAAAGCATATTCCCTTACAGGGAGGGGCCCTGAAATCGAATTGTTTCTCACCCTGGGACTAAACGTCACCGCCGACCCCCCCCCCCCCCCAGTTTTTCCCGTTGAACCGCAGGCATTTCAAGTCCCCCGGCGATTGTTCCAGGTACGCCTGGCGAGATCGGTGTGAGCTCCGGAGGGGAAGGTCGGACGCCCCTTCGGGGCATGCCAAAGGGGGGGCATTCCAACCCCTCCAAAGATGGGTGGCTCGTCTTTTTTGGAGTGCACCCGTTTTTGGGTTGGTCTTAAAGGGAACCAACTGGAAAACCACTAGTTTGGGAGTCCCCTCCAAAAGCAACCCACATAGAGGTGCGATGTTATTGGGGGACCCTTTGGTGGACATCGTTTTGGTGGGGATTTGTCCACCAACCAATTTTGAAGAGTTTCCGATTTAAATTGATAGCCGTATGGGTGTGCGTCAAGCTAGGGGTGCCTCAAAATGGTGAGACGCACACACACACATGCATAAGACGACTTCACCACCGTTTTAGCATCAACTCACCCTTAGGTCTCTCCGTCAAGGGTCCATTGCGAATGGTTGTCTTCACCACTTGTGCCCCCCTTGGTTTCAGTCCAACACACATCCAACAAAGACGGCGCTCACAACGCAGCATACCCCTCCGATTTATTTGACCAACAGATAAACAAAGTGGTCAAATTTGAGAATGGTCATGAAATTCAATAAGGAACCACCTCGAAAGTTGTTGGCGGACCAGTTAATCCCCACCAGCACCTGGCTTTCTTTGTGAAGCCAAATGAACCACTACAGGTCCCACTCATTACATCTCAGGTCTGGAGATTCTTTGGAGTGTGTCAAATCAACTGGTTCCGAATCCGGACATTACCCGTTTTCCAATACTCGAGTCCAGTGGCAAAAATGCTTTCCTTGGTTCTCACAGAAAGTGGCCTCAACCCGGACTCATCCCCTTGAACCCTCTAGCCCAAAGGACGTGGAACTGTCAACCTTTCGGAACCTTGACTGAAAACGGACCAAAGCCAAACAAACACAAAGGTTGAGCAGTTGAAAGGTCGCTTTGCTTTGCAAGCCGTCTGCAATTTTTGCAACTTGCCCAAAACCTGAAACAAAGGGGTCCAGGCAACAGAACTTCAATTATGGTGAGTGCGTTTTGCCAGGTGAGCTTAACGTTTAAACAACAACAAAAACGGTAGAACAATGTCTGCAGCTGCCTTCGACTCGGTCGAATACATGGACTACATTCCTTGACGACCGCTGGCATTTACTTGGGGATCCCTTATTTAACAAAACTTGCAGATCGACTAGCTCTGCCCAAATACCTGATTGTAGTGCCGCATTTCTGGTTTAGTCATAACAACCTTTACTTGCCGACATAAAAGGGGTCCCTAGCTCTTGTGTTTTGGACGTTGAAAAACATCGGGGCATTCCGGAAATCTCAGCGACTTTACCACGCGGGTTAGGGTCTTTGGCCAAGGCTTATCACCGGCTTCGTGACGTCGTCGGGTCGTGGGTTGTCGGGTCTCTGCCTGCTTCGCCCTTTCCTTCTGTCTTGGCCTCAAGCGGGTGCCGCAGGCTTAAGCGAACCCCAATTTGAACCAGTTGAATCAAGTGGCTGTGGGTGGAAAATGGGCACCCAAAATGGAACCCTGGTAAATGGAGACAAAGACTAAAACCGCGTCACCCTAGCTCTTTATTTTGAGCCACACCCAAGTGTGTTTCTAGGTAAGCGAGGTCTGTTGAACACCCTCCATGAATACTCTTTGCAAGAGGGGTCAGGCCGACCCAAATAAGGTCACGTTTGGGGTCCCGGCTGGTATCCCTCTTGGGTTACCCGCCAGGCTGTCTGGCCAAAAGGGCACTTGTGGCTGTTTTTTCTTAAGGGTACACCAGGAAAACAACTTGTTTTCTGTATTTTTTGGCGTGGGGGGGGGGGCGCATCCCTTGGACACATCACTTGGCCCTGGTGTTGAGACAGGGACGACGTTCCTCAAGGGGCAGGGTCCTGGATTGGAGGATCAACTCCATAGCTTCCGGACCATCCCAAGACGTCGTGATTTCGCTTTTCGAGTTGCTTTTCGTGCAGACTACTGTTTCAGGGCCATGGCAAGGGGATTTATTGTGAGTACCTGTGACTAATAGTGACTGTCAAGGACCAAGGGCCATATGCTTCCCATTGAGGGCCATAACCTTCCCGTTGAGGGCCATATCCTTCCCATTGAGGGCCGAAGCATGACGACAACAAATGCGCCTGGCTTTGCGCCAATCCTCGTGCGACTTCTGCTCCGTCTTCTTCCAGTCATCATGGTCCTAACTTGGCCAAACCCCGCGAAAAGTGAACTTGTGCTGGTTTAAAGCGAAATCAATGGATAGTGAAGTCTGGCATTCGGAATAAGAAAAGCAATGTATTTGCTTAATGCAACTAATAGGCCTTGTGTCTACATATTAGATGTTGTATATGTAGGTATACATGAATACTATGCATATATTGTATTACCCATTTGTATTGTGTATGTATATATGTATAGATACACGCTACCAGTACTGTCTCTATTCTGCCATACCAGCAATGTGTTTGCCTTAGTGTAGCAAACACACTGCAATGTCCTGATTGTTTTTGCAACAGGTTTGAGCAAAAATGTGCAGGCTTGCAGTCCATTGTGTGCTCTGTGCTACCAGTCTGCGCACGAAACCAAGCTTCTGGTTTCGGACAGTGACCAATTCCACTACACAATGTCAGGAAAACAAGCATTCCAAGCAAACTACAACCATGCCACACACACACACCCAAACTGTACAGCTAAGTCCGGCAGGCACACGCATCTCAACAGGAAATCAAATAATGCAAACACACACACACACAACAGAGGTTTGTACAAGTAGTGCCCCTGGAATCGATGCTTCAGTCTAACAGCAGCCCTTCCACCTGAACATTCCCACGAATCAACCACGAACACTTGCTAGTCCATGCAAAGTTCGGTGAACCCGTCCGAAGACACACACATTTTCGCATGTCCGTTTGGGTGTATCGTTGTTTTTGCGAGCATCCCTTCCCTTTGCCTCGGATATCCTCGGATTCCTTTCAAGGGCACCCCAATCCAGCAGCTCCCAGTGCAAGGATCCGGATCCCGAGACTACTGCCATTGAAAAGTGGCCCAAGAAAAACCTAAGTCAGATGACAACTCCCTGTAAAAACCCATGGTTCTTATGTCCCAAACATTGCTTTGGCAGGGGATTCATTAGGCAACTGACACGGAGTACAGGATCATCAACTCCATAAGTGCGATGCGTGCCATCTACTTTCACACTGGTGTAGTCACTTGTTGTGTCAGCACGTTCTGGAAGTCAGTTTTCAACCAGGAAACGTGGTTATTGAGGGCTGGCCGTCAACACAGGTCTTCCCTTCGCAACTGGCGAGGAGCTCGGAAGTTAAGAACGGAGACTGCTGCAAATGTTGTTCACTGTATGAACTCTGTATTGGAGTGTCCCTTGTCCATCCCTTTGCTCGCTTTCCTCAGTGAACTGTTTTCTTGTTTCACACGCGGTTCCTTTAAAGGAAATCGACAAGCATTCTCGAGCGCCGATGCTAGGAAACTAATCACTAATCCGAATGGAATCAGAGTCAGAAGTGAATAAAGGTTTTCTTTTCAGATCTGCAAATGCTATTGTCCAAGAACCTGAACTCCGAAACACGGGATGCCCAAGTACGGGACCATCACAGCGCCGGTTCACCCCCGAATCGAACCGAGCTCGGGTCCTTGGGCGGCAAGTCCGCAGGTCGTCCTCCGTGACCTTTGCCCTTGCCTCAGGTCACGGTGGAAACGGCCACGTCAGGAAACCCGGCTGCGTTTGAACTGGACGTCGGGTTCCCATGTTAGCGGGCAAGGCCAAAAGAAGTTGCCAAATCAGTCAACCGCTAAGCAAAAGAGTCTTTTGGCCGGGTCTTTGGTCGGGTTGTTGGTTCTTCGTGTCCAGGGGAGACATGGGTATGAATTCTCATTGGCTGGGCTGGACCGGGTGTAAATTGATCAGCACGTCGGGATTTATGTTCCCATTCTTCTGGGTGTGCCCCATTGAGACTCATAATGCGTGTGTCTTTGCTAGGTTGCTAGGGCACCCATTCTTGGGGATGGTTTGAAAGGAAACCAACAGGAAACCAAGCAATATGATTGTTCTGGAAAGGGTTCCCCAATTTAAAACAAACCCATACCTGGCTGCGACGATGGCATTACTTCCTCTTGATAGGTGTTTGCGCTTCATTTATATACTTATATGGGTGTGGCTCAAAATTAAACAGGAGGGGCAAACCGCAGGTTTTGGTCCATGTTTCCACTTACCAGGGTTCCAGCCTGGTACCGGTTTTTTGAGTCACAGCCATATAAGACCCGGAGGGGTCCCAGTTTCTCTACGGGTCTGTGGCTTTTGGCTCCTGACACATTCGAGGGCAGCTATCCTTCACCCGGCCTGGTGGTTTGGAAGCAACATCCCAGAGTCAAACCAGTCGTCAGTGCGACTTTGGCCGCAGGGATTGGATTCCCCACGTCCTGCATGTATTTTTGTATCTGGTTCGGTTGCCAGGAACGGTTCCATCGAAGGTGAAGATCATGTTGAAAATTCAGGAAGTGCAGATCGAACATCTCAGGTTATATGTGCTGCCACTTGGATGTTTTTGAACATTCGTGTTTCCCCCACACCTTCTGGAGCCGATGTGGCGCTTCCTGTGGTGTCCATCGTTGCGATATTGCCAGCGAGAGGAATTCTAACTGTCACATGTTTGATCCTAGGATCTCCGGGTTTGGGACCATCTAAAAAAAAGTCAGCTTTGAAATACCCTTCCGTCCACGAACGTGGAACCTACCAGAAATTCTCTGGAGGGAAACAATCTTCCAGGGCCCCCACCCCCCCGCTCAGGTTCCAGGCGGAGGGATGGGCCGATGGGCCGATGGGGACTCGAGAAGCAAACCCCTAGAGAATGTCCACAGAAGCATCTCGAGACATCTCTCGAAGTCTGTGAGCCCAAGGAGCTGCCCAAGTGGATTGGACCCAAGGTACCTTTTGTTTGTCATCAACCTGCTCTTCCCAGAAAGTACTTGACGTGGGGATTTGAGAGTAGCGACCCTAGACACCTCTCTTTTCAAAGACACCCAACTCACAACCATCAAGCTTTGGCAACTTTGGACATTTTGCCCTAACCGTTGAAGGAGCAGCGCACAAAACCCATTGACGTTTAGTTCTACAAAAGCGTAGGCCTCGCCATACGCAACCTTTATGACACCACGCAGTAGAACCTACTAGAAAGGCCCAGTTTTGGGCGCTCAAAGGTCTTTCTTTGGGGGCGAAGCCGCCGTCCCGCAACACTCTCGCGGCATTTGCGGCTGAGCAACTGAAGAAGCCATCGCCTGCGGAAATGATAAATCAAGTTGAAAGCCCTTGGCGCAACTCCCAGGAGGTTCAGATTTTGCTTGGTCTAATGACCCTGGATTTAATAAACCCGCCCTATGAATAGGGGGCGTTGTTCATGTTATATTTCTCCAGTGATGATTCCCCACGAAACCCACAAAAAACCCAGACAATGAACTGGGGTTGCTTATTCCGGGGCCAGCACCCTACAACAACTTTTTGGAGATTCCAAAGCCCCTTGGTTCCGATCCCTTTTCCTCCAGAGATTTTCACCGAACGCAAAAAAAGGGGGTCGAAAAGCCCGGAAGAAAGCCCCGAGGTTCACTGTTTGCAGCCAGATTTCCCACCATGCAACTTGACTGCGGGGTGGACTATGTTCCTTCAACAGAAGCTGTCTGGTGGGTTCCTTTCAGAATGGCACCTCCATCAGAAAGCAATGAGAAACCATGAATGCTCACCCATCACGTACCACCTTTGTTCTTTTGCCCCCTTTCTTGGTTCACAAATCGAGGTTTCACCAAGCTCAAGAGCAAACTATGACTCTCAGGAGGGCCACGCTTGTGTCCAATAAAGCAGAAAAATAGGACCACCACGATTGCCTGAATTGCCCACTGTGATACCGATGGAAGGCCTGGCAAATGTCTAAAGATGAGGTTCTCTGGCATTACACTTCTGTGGGAACCACCCCCTGATTCACACAACTCTGGATCACCCTGCCCGGTACTTCGACAAACATAGACTCTCTCTCTCTCTCTCTCTCTCTCTCTCTCTCTCTCCAGGAAATTGAGTTGGATTAGCCTATTCTAAAGACCACCCACCCAAAGACCCCCCCCCACCCCGGATGGGAGCATTCTAGCGACTTGCGCGGTTGGCGCCTGACCTAAGGGGTATGGAGCATCCCAACACCGATGGAGTCCTTCCCCTCCCTCGGTGGATTGGCAAAAGAGCCCAAACGGTTTGTTGCACCGGGGCCCATTTCCCATAAAGTGCTGGGACCCCAGTGACCATGGGAAAACAGAGCCCTCGTTTTTGTGTGTTTGACTTAAAAGGAACACCCTCAAAAAAAATGCAAAAAGGAAGCAACCCGCTGGGTGTCTGGGAGTACGTTAGGAAGTCGGAGAAGTTCCTTCCGTTGAACTTCCTGACCCGCGAGAAAAAAAATAATCACATGAGTTCTCACAATGGTCAACACATGGTCAACACCCTGTCGCCCGGGGAAAAAAAACAAAAAACACTTCGCGCGAGTCTTTCTCAAACTAGTGAACCCCTGGTGGGTAATTGTCCGGGAGACCAAAGGATCCCACTTGTACAGTTGATGGACGAAATCCTGCACCATGAGAATTCCCTGGATGCCGGCAAACCAGGGTTTCAACCATGGTTTCAACATGAGAATTCCCTGGTAAATGCCGGCAAACCATGGTTTCAACCATGGTTTCAAAGGTGGTGCCAACGGATTCCCTCCAGCCACAGTGGACCCATTCCTATGAGAACGCCGATTTCTGCGCCTGGCTTGATGAAGTGGATGGCAGACTCCTGAAAAATAACTTTCCAAACGCGAGCCGATTCTCGAGAAACCCGAAGGGGACCACCAGAATCGGTCATTTGTTGAGGGTAACACCATTTGTTTGCTTTTAAAGGGAACCTTTCACTTTTTTGGGGGAGGCGTCCCCTAAAAAAGACATCTCCAATTCCTTTGGGGCTTGGTTCCGTTCTGCGCCGAACCCCTAAATAGGACGCAAGGGAACAAGCCAGACACCCGACAATTTATCACATTCATTGTGGCTCGTGTTGCTTGGCAACACCAATCAACCAACCGGCAGAAAGTTTGATATGTTCTGAGTCTGTTCCATATCCAGTCCACCCTACAAACAAAACTTTTCTTGGACGTCTGAGCCGATAGCTGGAACGGGCCTCGTGCCAGCCCCCTGTGGTTTGTGATCCTCTGGGAGCTAGCCCGCGTTGCGTTTTTTTTTTTTTCGGCCGCCGAACAACGTTGGATCTGTGGCTCATTCGCGCTCACGTCCAGGCCCGTGTAACGTCGGGAGAAACTTACAAAGCACCAGGAAAATCCTGTCGCGGAGATGCTCTGCAAATGAACAGAAGGAACCTAAAATGGGAGAGGAAAAGAGGCTCCTCCAACGACGATAGCGTTTTGGGTTCCATGTTTAATCTGCAGGAGCGTATTGCAGGGGAAGCATGGAACCCCAGCAATTTGACCCTGGCATTGTGGGGCGGTCCCCTAAAAGAGACACGCCTAAGAGAGTCAGCGTCGATCGCCCCAGAGGTTGAGGGTCACCAGTTCAGCTTGGACAACGGCAGCTGCCGGATCTGTGAACGAAATCCCCATTTTTACCCTCTTGGTTCTTGGCAAGATACTAGACAAAAAGGAAAAAAGAGCCGAACGACGACCAAAACAACTAAACTAAACCCCAATTGAACGCCAACCAAACCAAAAGGGACGTCTTCACTTCCCATATTTGTTCCTTGAGGTCCAGCCAACCAAACCCAGAGACGTCTTCGCTTCTTTCCTTGAGGTCCAGTGCGAAGTAGTAGACCAGCACCCACAGCAAGAAGTGCGCCAGGATGGCCAAAGGCACGAAGATCTGCTTCGCCGCCTGCGTCTTTTCGAGCGCTTGTTCAGCCAGCTGAAACCAAATCGATCTGGGTTGACGTGGGAAGGGGGGCGAACACAAATTGAATGTTAAGTGGGGAGCCCGAGTGGGGATTTGACTTTTAGTGGGACATCCCGACATCCCCACTTAACTTAAGATTTGAAGTGGGAGCAAGTTGGAAGTTAAGTGCTTGGATTTCAACCACTAACCACAATAAGCAAAATGTAACATGTTTCCCAACAACAACAAAATGAGATAGGGAACGGTCGGAGGCCAGATCCGGAAGCCTGTTGAGGTTGCCATGTTATCCTTTTTGTTGGCCCTCCCAAAAAGCTATTGAGGTTGCCATGTTAAATTTTGTGCTGCCCCCAAACAAAACAACAACAACACAGCAACAACAACAACCTGTTGAGGTTGCCACGGTTCCCATGTTAAATGTTGCAACCCCCAAACAAGCAGCTAAGGTTGCCATGTCAAAGATTGGAACCGACCCCAACAAAAACTTGCCTGCCACATCAAATGTTGGAACCCAAAAACCACCTGCTCAGGTTGCCCAACACAAAAAACAACAACGTCTATTAAGGTTGCCACGTCAATTTTTGGAACTCCAAACATCTGCAACCACAAATAGAATTCGGATGCGATTTTTGGGTTCCATGTCAAATGACAAAGTTCGGCGAAGTTGGAATGCCTTTTGTTTGTGTTGATGTCGACAGCGGTATGATTGATACAGCTCGGATTGGAGCTCCCGGAACTTGAGAGAAAGACCAAAGAGACGCATTCGATCTAGAAAACAGGTTTGGATGTGCACAAGTGCAGACTCGGGTTCCAAAACCCGATGGATGATACTCTTTTCGTTTTTTTGGGCACCCTTGCGTTGCAGAGATTCGGCACATCCAAACCGTGGACCAAAGACTCACCCCATTCGGATGAACCTGTCCCAAGATGGTGCACAGGCTCATGTCCCAAGAGAAAAGGCGTCTTCCAAACGGGGGCTGGGCACTATCATGGTTGTTGCTATGCTGAATGCTTTGGTCTTGAATGGGGTTATAAACCCTAAAGGGGGTGTACTGGGTTGATACCCTATTCATAACCAAGCAGAGGCGGCCAAGTGGTGGGCACAATTGTGAAAGCACAGAGCACCCGGGGGGGAGCAAAGTCATTGACTCTGGGTTGGACTGAGATGGTGACCCAGGTGTGTACAAACATTTATGCAGGTATATACAGGCCTTGCTAGAATCCCTGTCCAAGTGAACTCATCCGGCTGCTATGATCTTGTATGGCTGAAGCTCGCTCAACAACAACATACACATCCCCCTGGGCCCCTGCAATTGCTGTCCGAAGGGTTGCCGATTCACATTCACCAGTTGGGAGGGCTCAAAAAGAGATTTGGAAACCCCAACAAGCGGTGCCCTGGCTTTTTGACCGAAACCTGTTTTTGGACCCTCTGCCGAACCATATCTTGGGGCTTGGAAAGCAAGGGTCCCCCCCCATTTTGGAGAACTGTACAAAACAAAGAAGGCCTTCCGAATTGAGATTTTTGGAGGGGAGGAAACCAGCAGGATATTCTTTAGGATAGCTCAATCCCCTGGCATGCTTGTCTTTTTTTTTGGGGGGAGGGACTGGTATGTGTGTATTATTTATCTTTTAGGGAGAGACTTCCAGGATTTGCCGGTTAGTCAAGTCTCAGGCCGGCCCAAGACCAAAACGGGGGTTCGTTTTTCCCAGGCTGACGATCAGCTTCCAATCTGCAGGACGTGGGCGAGCGCCCAGGCTGATCCGCAAACTCTGGGCTGTCCGTTTTTTTCAGATCCCCCACTAAATGCTGAACACTTTTTGTGGGTTAAATGGACACCTCCACTAAAAAAGCTTTAAAAAAAAGGATGCTGAGGGAATGGCTGGGAGCCACCAAGACAACTCACCGAACGGTAAGGGAACCCATGAGTTCCAAACCCTAGGCCCCTTCATGTTCCAAACACCGCTTGCAAAAGTCATGGCCCACTGCAGCTTTCTTGGAAGCTCCTGGCTAGAGGTGACCGTGGCCAAGGTGGCACAGCCTAAGCGCGCAAAAGACTCAGAATCTGCGAGGGTTTGTGGGCCGACATATGGGTGTGGCTCAAAATTAAACAGGAGTGGCTACGCAGGTGTTGGTCCATGTTTCCACTTACCAGGGCAAGGCATTTTGGTACCGGTCTTTTGAGCCGCAGCTATATCCCTAGCTTTGCGGAAAGTCATTTGATGTTTGCCCAAAAGCGTCGATCGGGATTTCGAACGATTCGTCCCCTTTCAAAGTAGCCTGTACCGTAGTTCTGTATCCCGTTTGGGAATGAACCGTGGATTGCAATAAATGAAACTACTTAGGGTCATTCCCGAAATTTCCTGAGAACCAGCACGATGAAGATGTCCCAACTAACGACACCCGTTGGTGTTCCTTTTTGTGGTCCAACAATATGAGGGCTCGACATCCCCAACCCGAAGCCGTATCGAGCCCCTATGCCGGAACCAGGCCATAGGGTCTGAAAGTCCGAATGACAATCTGCCTGTGCCAAATTCAGCGATACGGTCAACCTATCCAGCAGATTCCAAGCGGACCCATTGTTCCAAGGTTTCTGCCAATTTTCCGAGAAGCCCTGAAATGGAAAAGTATGGCTAGAAAGGTCCCAACTACGGTGCCCATTACTTCCCCCCTGTTGAGGAGTCGCCAAAGTGTCCGAGAAAGTGGGGGCCCTTTTTAGACAGTCCTCACTCGCTGGGGGACCTAGCAGAATCTTTCCCACCTGAGAAGCCCTGTGTAAAAAACATGAAATCTCACGACTCATCGGGGAGGGTCCCCAAACCTCAGGTAGGACGTATCTTCCATGTCAGCAGACCCGTTGGAGAACAAGGAGCTCCAGTAACCCACAAACCAGGTGCTTAGAGGGTAGAGGAAACCCCCTCATCCCTGTTTGGAGGGTTGGCCCCGGGTGATCCAACATTTGACCCCCAAAGAGTTGCCAGAAGTCAACCGTTGGGTGCACGAAATTCGTGGAGTCTCTTTCGCTGTTTAAGAAATGTCGAGCTCCTCGCGAAGATATCGATGTCAAATCCGAACAACTCACTGGACAAACCGGAGAAGGAACTCACTTCCTGAGCCAAATCTACTCCTATTGCTTACCGCGCCCAAAAGTTCAAAGTCCAGAGTGCAAGTTAGCTGCAAAACAGTCCCTAAGAACTTTGACCTTGTCCTGGGAATTCGATGTGCCGAGCTATCCGCCGAGAGCCGCGGCCGGGTTCGCACCCGGCTGGTGCGCGGGCGCGGCAACGGAAATGCAAGGCATAAGCTGAACGGACAGTCAGTGCTGTGTCCTGAAGATGACATCTTGGCACATTCTGCCATGTCTTTACAAAACTCCTGGCTCCTAAATGGTTCCTCTCATGCAAAATTGGATAATTGGATAAGCCCCGGCTCCTTTGCTCCTTGCCTACTGCCAGCACTTCCCCATGCGAAGCTGCACAAAACTGTGCCACGTCCAAGTGTCCCACATGCTAAGAGCAGAAGTTGTGCTTGCCCGGCGTCAGGTACAAGAACCGAACACACCCAAATCAATCGTCAAGTGGACGCCATCCAATCGGCACTTGCGATTGGTGAATGCCAGTATGAAACACTTGGATTTCATCATTAATCTATCCCTGGTGCCTGGCGTCTACTTTATGTCCATCATCACGTCATCTTATTGTTTTCATGTGCACGCAGTTTGCCCTGATTCATCTTTGAGCTGAACAATATAATGGAAGCCCGTTATCCAGAAAAGTGAAAGATACCTATTGTGTGAATCAACTAGAGGCTTATCAATGCGGGGTTAATATTCATGTTGACCCTGGATTAATAAACCTCTGTTTATTAATATGGGGGTGTCCCTGGTTTTAGTCGGGATTCTTCACTTTTGCAGGGGAACACTCCCATATTAATAAACGGGGGTTGATTTATGCGGGGTGAACACTACGCCATGCAACTTCGCCCGAGATTCCCGGCTGGGCCCCAGGGAGATCATCACCACCGTGAGGATTCCTCGGTTCGTCCAAACCGGGCGGCAAACTGCAAAAAAGGGGTTTGTTGGGTTCATTGATGCCTTGCCACCAGTTGCTCACTTTTTCAGGGAGATGTCATAAACCCGCTAAACTCTGAACAGCAAAACAAAAACAAAGGGTATGCCTGGGCAGCGGCAAGGTTGCAAAGTGTAGGTCACTCCCCAAAGATGAAGTGTGGACACCTCAGTCAATTTGCCAAGCCCGTCCTCAAATGCCCTTCTGAAAGTTCAAAACTTTCAGTGGCAAAATGGAAACCCGCACTATTCTAAAAACCTAAAAACCCTTGGGACGACTGGGAACCGCCAAGTGTGGCCTTCACCTTTGGGGTAGCAAAATTGGCATCTTACGGGTGGTGCTTCACGAGGACCTGAGGGAAAGCCTGGAGTGGCAATGCATGGAGATACCTCGAAAGCAGAAAGATGCTCCCGAGTAGGCACGAAAGGATCCGAAAGGATCCGAAATCCGCTTCGACACCTTCGCGTCATTTACGCGTCGAGCTGCCCTTGAGCGGAGCGATCGGGCGAGCCTTCGAAGGGCAAGCCGAGGCCTTCTCGCCTTGCAATCGGCGAACACCTCCCTGTCCCGTCCGCAGTCGTGTACGCAGTGAGGAACTCGGCTTCGAATTGCTAGAAAGCCACCTACCAAGTGCTACGATTAGATTCTGGTCCGTGTTGAGTTAAAGATAAAATGGAGAAACAAGCCAAAAGATCCAGGTGGTTGGTTTCCTCCTGGGTTCCCTTTTTAAAATCATCCAAAAAGGGTTCCCCAATTTTGAAACAGACCCAAGCCTTGCAAAGGCCAAAGGCCAAACAATTGGCTGGCGGAAACACCGGCACCTTTGAAGGAATTGAACCCATTGACTCGTCCCGAAACCGAGAAAAGAAAAAGACACCCAGGGGTCGTCAAAGGCTTGTTCAGCTAAGGTCTATGGTTTGCTGACCCAAGTTGAAAGTTCACAGAGCCCTAGTCATAGATGCTTGTCCCTAGACGAGAAAAACAACCACATGGGGAATGTAAAAAAGGGACGCCCTGAATGAATGTGGACCCCCTCACTATACATTATAATTGAACTATGGGAACTTGGTTTCCGTAAAACAAACAACAACTGAACGGATGGCAGCCCAAAACAAGAAGCGCCAGTGAGGCTGGACATATTCAGATCCAACACCTCGCATGGCAAAGGCACCCAAAACAGGTTTGTTCTTTTGCAAGAAGCTGCTCCCTCCTGCAAAGACATCCAAAACAGGCTCCTTTTGTGGAAGGCAAGTGAACGGAAAGCACCTCCCTCCATTTGCCCGAGTCAACCCGGAAAGCCTTCATAGAGTTTGGACCCCTTGTTTTGTCTGACTCTGCTCCATCCGTAGTCTAAACGACACAAACGATTCTTGGCCACCCCGGATTTGCATGACAAACATTTGAGTGGTGGTTTTTATTCCCTTTAAATTTGTATTGACGTATCAAACCCTTCCGCGAAACCTTCTTGGAAGCTTCCGCGCTGTGAAGGGTGCCTTCCGCGTACGGTTTGCTAGTAAACGTGCTTGGCAACAACCACCCAACCGAAACCGAACTGCTATGTGCAAATTAAAAGGGTCCCTTCCGTGAGCTTCCGCAGGAAAAAAACCTTCCGCAAACCTTCCGCGAACCTTCCGCGACTGCAGTGCGGCGCCACATATTTTGTTGATATGTCGACATTTATACATGGTTGCTTGAGCGGAAAAATGAACCGCCACTCATTTGGAGACGCCTTGACTCAGCCCTGGCCCCCCCAGAGCGCCCTAAAAGGGTGAAAGTTTCATAGACCCGAAATACACATCACAATTCGGGGATTCATGTCCAACCACTTGTGAGGTGGTTCCCTATGAATGGTGTTCTTAAAACCGTAAAAGAGCCAAAGCAGGCTCTAAAAGCCCTTCTTGGGTTGTGCGGGGAGGAAAGGGGGGTGGCCTGGGCCACTGGCGGAGGACGGTGCCGGGCGCACGAAAAGTGCTGTTGATGATGAGGGCCACCTCAATCAACTGACTCAGAAACCAAACCTATGCCCAAGAGCCGCGTTCAGGCCATATTTTGGCCTTTACGATTTCCGTCTGTTGCTTGGTAGGTGACTTTTGATGTTGCTGTTAAATTGGATTTGCATTTGGCTCTTTATTCGGCTTCTTATGCTTGGCCAAATGTTCCCCTAAGGCTTATCCCTAATCTTGAGGAAGCCTTTGGATGGAGCGGGCGGTTTTTGGGCCCCGGCTGGGCGTGAGGGCAAACTGCAGAGGGTGCTTGTCAAGTCGGTTCCCTTGAAACCCAACTCGAACATCATACCCTCAAACAAAAGCGTAGCCAAATAAAGCAAGAGAGCCTGCCCTATCCCCTTTCCCTTTTGGCTTCCCGGGAGAACAGACTATTTTGCACCCACAGAAGGGGTCAGAACTGCGGACAAACTTCGAATCTGCAAAGCGATTCGCACATATTCAGGAAGACAGCCAGGGACGTGGGGTGTGCTCGGGGTCGATTTTGTTGAGGGCACCCCAAACTGGGCTTGGTTTCAAGTTGGAAAGCAACAGGGAAACCACAAGTTATAAGACCCCAAAGTTTGACACACTCCCATCAGCGCGATGGATTCCACCTCAAGGCAGTTCACCTTTTGCCTGAACCTGACCAGCTGAGCTTACTACCCCCCAAACATCACTAAACAAAAACACATTTCAACAAATGGTACTTAATTGTTATCTCAACAAGTAATAAACCAGGGAAGCCACCATGAGAAAAGTGATCTGCTTCGGGCATGCGAGGGTTGCTGAGGTGGCCTCCTTTGGCAGGTGTTTGCAAAGGGAAGCCTAACAAAGGGCACCACCCGCAAGATGCTTAACTCAGTTCCCCAAAGGACACAGAAGTCAAAGATTAACCTCGGCCATGACTAAGAAAGGACTAAACACTGGCAACCAAGCGGTCGGCTTTGGGCAAGTGGCTGTGGGTCAAAACCAATGGTACCATTTTGGGGCTTTCGGTGCACCACCCATTTTAGAACCGATTTTAGTGGTTGGATTGGGATGTTCACTGGGGGCTAGCCGGGGTTTTGGCCCAAGTGAGTTGAATCTGCCAGGCCAGGCCCTGGCCGGAAGCTTGAAAACATATCAACAGCTACCGCTTGGAACCGATCAATGCATGCGCATCCAAACAGGCGAGAACCCGCGCAACATGGACATGAGCGTCTGGGCAAGCCGAATTCGCCCACCTGGAAATCAGGATCCCTGAGCCAATGACCTTCATCATAGGCTCATCTTACCCCTAGGTGAGCTCGATGCAATTCATGGTTTTCGTTTGTGAATCAGAGGTCGGATTCAGAGGGCCCCTGATTGAAGAAACTAGCCAGGGGTCCGCCTGGAAGAAGAAAAGACTGCGCACAGAAAGTGCGTGCGGGGTGCAAACTGGGTTGGCTGTTTGTCCGAATCAGGACTGGCGCTGCCTACCTGTGACACGTTGACCTTGTTTCGAAACGGCGAGTTGAAGAATATTGGGTCAAACCCAAGAGCCAAGAGCAACCACATTCCCTTCTGCTTGTGTTATTTGACGACGAAAACATATGAGCAGTGAAAAAACCCTGTTACCCGTAAAGGAAACTACTCAAGCTTTCGTAATCGCTTGCGGCAGGCTTCCGACAACCCAAATGTCGCTTCCGCCGGCACTTTTTAGAAGATGGAGCTTACGCATAGCTTACGACGCAGGTATGTGTCAAGTTGCTCGTGCCCAAAACTTGCAGATGTCCAGCAGCGACATGAAGGGCCCAAAGAGAACTTTTCGGGCAGCGAAAAGCTCTTTGCCATTTGCGTCGCAGAGCGAGCTACTTGCACAAGGCCCTTGTGCGCCACGCGGCGCATGTAGTTTGCGGGGAAGAATCTATTTCGCAAGCTTGAAAGGTTGCACAAACAGCACCAAAAACAGGAAAGAAACGACCTCACAAGGTGTAAAAGCCGCGGTGAGAGGCGTGTGCTTGGCACTATGGCAATGTTGACGTTGGAGAGCCGTCACAAAGCCAACAAGCAATTGATGGTTTCTTTGGGGAAACAATGCCGGTCTAAATCTTCCCAACACCGCTGGCAGTCTCTTGAAGGCGTCGCGAGAGCGGCGTCTTTCTTGGGGACACACCCAAAGACAACTTTCGGGGCCCGAAAAGTGTCCCCTGCTTTCTGTGAGAGCGGCGAGCTTGGTTGTAAGCTGGTAAGCTGTTTGTAAGCTGTTGTAAGCTGTGGGAAGACACGCCCCATTTTGTCTGTCTCCACATGTTTCAGCTGAAGGAAACTATACATATCCTTTGCTCTGGTGTGCACAGGCAAGCCAGAATTTGCGGGTTGGGGGGTGAAGGCAAGAAACCACTTTTGGGAGCCCAAAGTTTCCCCTCTTTCAGTTGCGAGCTTGGAAGCATGTGGCTTGTTTGTAAGCTGTGGGGGGACAACAGGCCCCATTGCCTGTTTGTCTTGCGCCCTTGTGTTTCGATTTGTGAGAGGCAAGTCCCGGCGCGGCAGCGAACGCACAGGCATTGTGGTCAGGGAAAGCCGGCAAGCTGCGTCTTTGTCCGTTTCACTCGGCCGTTTGCCATTCACAGCCCACGCAGCGTCGCGAGAGAAGGCGTCCTTCTCATCACAGCCCACGCAGCGTCGCGAGAGAAGGCGTCCTTCTTTGGGACAGACCCAAAAAGACATTTCGGGGCCCGAAAAGTTTCCCTTCTTATGTCTTGGTTGTAAGCTATTTGTAAGCTGTTTGTAAGATGTTTGTAAGCTGTAAGTAAGCTGTGTGAAGGACTTTTGCGGGGTGACACTTTCCTGGCTTTGGGAGTTTTCTTGTTGGGTGGGCTGGCGGCGTTAGTTGCAAAACAGCTGCTCAAGGCCGAAAATGCCAAGACAGCTTTGCCCTCACTAAAGCATCTTTTGCGGCTTTGATTCTTCGCCTTGCGTTTGGCGCTGTTCCTTTCAATTTGTTGAAGCTTACACTTGCGGCAAACGTTTCAAGCCCTGAATTTTCTTCAAAGAGCAGTTCTTCTTTGTCAAGACCTGGTTCGCTTTTGGGGGTTTGCCCATTCGTTAGTTTTTTTTTTTTTTCTGGGGCTTGCGGTTCGACCCCGCTGGCTCCAACAGAGCTTGCCCGGGCTGCACACCCTTCAGGAGCTTGGTGGATTGTTGGATGTTTTGAGGGTTTTCACTGAATCCATGTGGGGACTGTCAGCATTGGAATTGGCACAGCTTGACTTGCAAGCAGAAACGAGTTTTGAGGTTAGTGTTGTTGGGATGGTTCTGAGGGAAGTAAGCGTTTTTGCGAGATCTAAGCTCCGCATAAGCTCTGTTTGTCAGACTGTTTTTCGGTCCGCGCTATAATCAGAATTCTTTGGAGCCATATGCCAGCGTCTGTTTGACTGTTGGGTTTGTTTCGGGCTCTCCATGTTGATTGTGCGGGACCTCAAGCCTTCCAAAATAAGCCCGCTCAGTGAAAAACAACTTTTCGAGCCCTGAAAGTTGTTTTTTCCCCCGGACACCTTTCTGTCGATGAATTCAGCTACTTTGCTTGGGCGGGCACCTTTTCCCTTTGGGCGTTTTTGAACGACTTAGTTTTGAACAACTTTTCGAGCTCCGAATGTTTTTTGTGGGACCTCGAAAAGTTCCCTCTTTCCGTAGGAGTTGCGAGCTTGGAAGCACTTTCCACGTTTCATCTAATTTCATCTACGGAGGTTTTTTCGCCGCTCATATGTCAGCTCCGCACCTGTCCATTTAACATCAACAGGGGGAAACACACACACACACACACTCAAACAGAAGCTCAAATTGAATCGCCCGGAGGATCAAACCCACAAAAGGGGTGGATTCAACTGCCGAAGCCTAGGGTTGGAAGGCGGGCAGAGTTCCCACTGTGGGGAACATTTTTCGTTAGGAAAATGTGAATCTAGATCTGGGTGTTTCTCAACATAGTGACCCCTTACGAGAATTATTTGTCTCGGAAGTGGAAAGGCAAATTCCACAGCCCTGGCAAGGCTTGCTTTGACCTCCGCTTGAGTCTGGGCATCAGGGCCATGAGGATGAAGGTCAAGGTCACAATGGTCACCGCGTACTCGTTAAAGGCGTAGTCTGCGTGCGAGTTCGTTCCATGGGTGAACTCTTTCCCAAGGCCTCAAAATAGGGAACTGCAAACTGCAAACCAGATTGACTGGTCAGTGACTTCCCTAAATGCAAGGAGACTTCCCCAAGGCGACGCGGCTGGGAATCTGGGGCTGAGAGCCTCTGAGACACCCGTCTCAGCAAAACGGGGAACTGCGCTAGGGTTGCTCCAAGCCAACGAAACGTCAAACGTCAGGGGAGAAAGTTCAAATCCAAAAAACGCTGGCGTTTGCAGGGGAACCAGAAGAAACCAATGTTTGGGTTTCTTTTGGGTTTCCTTGCGCAGGCCATTTTTGTTTACCCTCATACGCTTGCTGATCGCGTCCTTAGCGACTGAAAGCGATTTCATTAGCAAACATAGTATTTCCAGAAGCGTTTTTTGAAAGCAAGCATACCACGCCACCAGATCCAAAACATGCTTTCTGCAAGCATCAAAGGCTCAAATCTGATCTCATCCAAACTCAAAACAAACCACCTTGAGGCAGACGTGTGCTTTCGTTTGCCGATGCAATTTCTCCCTGGTAAGAAAATGCACGCAGTGGTCTTTGCATCTTTTTGTGTTTGAGGATGATCGTTTGTTGGCACTTTGAATATTTATGCTGGGTTGTTTAAACAGAACATATCAGGAACCGTGTCTCACTGGTGGCGCTTTCCAGCAGGTGGAGGACCCGCTCGCGAAGCGCGCGGAGGTTCGCGGAGTGCGTGGCGGCCTCGTCGATGTCCCCAGGCGGCTCCAGGCCGCGCTTGCGAAGGCTGGGGGGAACGGCCCGAACTTGGAAGAGCGTGTCCAGCGCCTTCATTTGGTCCATTTCCGCGACACTTTGCAGCCAAGCGAACGCTGGCCGCCTTGGCAAGGGCGGCAGGCTTTGGGGCAGCCTTGGCGCCGGAGAGCGCTTTCTTTTTCTGCGCCGTGCTTTCGCTTCACTTCAGTCAGTGTGCCGAAATCAAATGCCAGCCGAACGTGGCCTCAGATCTCCGGCGTTCGCAATCGCGCCCCTCCCTTGCCTTACAGCAACATGTTCCTGAAACGATTCGGATCATGGGAAATCAGTCCACCACCATTCTTCGCAGGTCAGCAAATAAATGTTGTTGTTGTGTTCGCACTCATGAACCGGGAGCACAAAGCAGATCTAAATGATCTAAACATGAAACCAACAAGAGGTTCAAACAAAATCCTGTCAGGCTTCTTGTAGACCCTAAGACCAATAATCAGCCAGGGGGCCCCGTCCCTGCGGACCATTGCCAAGTGATACTCCCATCTGCAAAAACTATGAAGGACATTGAAGGACCATCAGAGCCCGATGTTCCCCGAATCTGCAAAACCGATAGGAGCATGAACACCCGATCTCCCACTTTTGTTGCTGTTCCTCAAGTTTGCCCATTCCCATTCCATGTACCGATTTGGAGCCGTAGCAAGTGGAGCCATTTCAGCCTATGGGGGAGCAACCCCACGTTTCGCAGGCGGGCGAACCCCATCGGGCGCCTTGGCGCGCCAAGTACCCCAGTGCGAAGTAGGCACTGCTGTCGCCAAGGCCTGTGGCAAGTCCGTTTTCAGATTCCAAGTTGAAAACTTTTAGTGGGTGAAATGGACACCCAACCACTAAACCCTAAAAACCTAAAAACCTAACAAGACGGCTGGGAACCACCAAGATACAACGTGGGGGAAATTGCGCGAAGCTGAGGGGCAATGGCAATGGATTGCTTCTCAACAGAAGGATGGGTGAAAAGAATCGAACAGACATCATCCCTTGGACAAGTTCCCCGGGGCCATTAAAACAAAACGAAGAAATCTTGCCTTTGACGGCTGGCCATTATTGGCCCTCAGGGAAGACGTGCTGGTGGACTTCCAGGGAGCTCTCATATGAATTTAGTTGAGTTGGTGTCCATAGTCTATGCTGATCGGTTGCTCACACGATCCAAGCAATCCTGAACTTCAGTTTCCTTTTACAATCATTTTCTGGACCAGCCAACGGCACGTGAAGCACACAAAGACACCACCCCCAAAGCCACCCCAACCATTCAGTTCAGGCCTGATTCTTGCCCCAGGACAAGTCTCTCCAGCGATGTTGAAAATGCTACAATAATTTTCAGAACCTAAAAAAGGGATCCTCAAGCAAGGGACCATCATCATGGTAAGCTCGGTTTATCCTCAAGTGAGCTCGCCATGATACAAACAGAACGCTTGCCCCATCAAGTAGGGCCTTCAGTCCATTCGGTGAGTGACGCCTACGAAAAAGCCTTGGGGCGGTTGCATCAACTCACAAACCCAGAAGTCAATGGCTGTGCAAATTCGCTTGAGCTGATTGGCCAAACAAGTCACCACACTTGTTGTTTGCCACCAAAATGGTCGCCAAAAATATGTCAAGATTTCTTCTAGCTGGAGAAGCTAGTGCCGTGGAAATGCGCATGGGCAGCCAAACATGCCAAAGCCACACCAATGTAACAAAACTACAAAGGCGGCCGCACCTGTTTTTTGGTGGGGACTGTCCATTACTCACCTTCACTTATCCGGGCTTTGATTGTGGCTCGAAGTGGACCCTTTTTTCCCTGGAAGCTTTGGGGCAAGGGCTTCAGATGGCTTCGGAGTCGGGGGTGGAACTCCGGAGGGGGGGTGGGCAAGCTTTGTGGCAAGCTTTGTGATACCACTTGGGCTATCACTTTGTCACTTTCAAGAAGAGTGCCTCGCCGGAACTGGCCCTAAAACCGAAATGTCCTCAAAGCAGGTTGCAACAAGATAACTTTCAGGTTGAAACTGAGAACGGAAGCCCCAACTGGGCAAAGTGCAATTTTAAGGTCAGACAAGTCTGGGAATGAACACAGAAAGCCCTTATTTCGTGGTGGTGAGCAGCTAGGAAGCAAACATCAAGAGCGGAGCCCTGAGAGTCTTCGATCAATCCAACGCTTTCACGTGCGCCTTTGCACGAATATACGGAACAAGCACGGCTCCAACTTCAAGGTCTGGAAAAGAAATGAAGATAACTCACAAGTATCTTACACAAATCTCTTCAAAGGGCCCCAGGATAAGATATGTTGACATAGCTTCCGGGGCGCTACATAGGTCGTTTGCGAGAAAAAAAAAATAAAAATGTCCAGATCCTGGCGGTAACTTTTGCTCCGTTTCACGTGATCTTCATTTGGAATCGGAACCTCCGGCTTCAATTCCCCTCTCCTCAAAGCGCGCACCTTAAAAGGGACCATCGTTCACTCCAGGCGGGGGGGGGGCACCAAATGGTTCCACTCGTTTTCTCCAGAAGCTTGGATCCAGGTGATGTTTTTCAACCTACTGGATGGTTGGGAGGGTTCCTCAAGTGAAGGATGCGTGGGGCCCCCCCCCCCCAATCACAAGCAACCAACAACGATTAGCAATCCGTGGTTAACTCGCGAGCAACATCAGTTCTAGGCCCACCAACCAATTGGCACCCCCTGAACAGGCATGCTATCCCCAAACCAACGCAATCAGAGGTCTCTGTGAGTGCGTGTTTTTTTCAGTAACCTATACTCCTTGAAAGGGGAACCCCATTTTGGGCGTCGCCCGGTGCAACCGCATTCCCTGACCAAACATCCAGTGGCCACGGGAAACAAGTGGCACCCCATTTTGGGCTGGTTGATTCTAATGGGTTTCCCCCCTTCAAAAATTCAATAAAGCTTGCTGGTGCGATAGGCAGGGAACGAACATTGGAATGACCCGGGGAGAAAAAACATGGTTTCCTTTATGCGGGGACCCCCAAGCCTGGGTGCATGCCATGTCACATACCCTACCTACTCAGCACCGGCAAGAAAGGGCACCGAGGTCTGGGAGTCTGGGCAAAGGATGCCGAGGCCCATGGAGTACTTGGAATAGAGGTCCTCAACTGTCGACTGTCGAGTTTACCAAGCGAAAAGGGGGGGGAGAGGGGGGGGGGGGCTTCGGGGCTCTCCCCATAAACGAGTGTGTGAAAAAACCCGGAAGGTTCATGGCTGGGTGCAGCTCTTGTTTTCGTTTCTTCCTTCCAAATCGAGCCACTCCCAATTCATCGAAATGGGTTCCCGGTAGTGGACCAGTGAATAACCTCCCGCCCCGACTAAATCAGTGGTCCCGGTAGGCATCCACACGGACAAGGGCTCCGTCCTTGAAAATTACTCGGCCGACATATGGGGCACACAGAAGACATAGGTACACAGAAATCAAATCGGAGTATTCTGCGCCTGTTCCATATTCAGTTAGACCAATTCTTGCGATCCCATGGATCGATTTCCCCATTGGTTCTCCCTCGAGGCTCGACATGCCCATCGGGGAGGTTTTCTCTTGACCAGGGTACACCGCCTTTTGTTCCAAGGACAGCAGGTTTGCCACAGGCAAGTCGGATAAAAATCGGCCACCTGGGAGAACCCGTTGCTGGGATGTCCGCAAGACGAGAAAGTTGTTTGTAACTCAGGTGCAGATCCACTTATAAAAGATTGGGCAAATAGTCAACTAGTCTAAACTGGTATTTTCTCCCAACAGGATCTTCCCAAGTTTCAAGTCCAGATTCCCCGAGCGTGAGAAAATCTAAGCCGGCTACCAAACATTCTCAAAAGTCGGGGGGGGGGGGGGCAAGTCCGGTGCTTTTTGTCCCAAACCAACCTGAAAATGGAGCCTGGAAAGTCCTGGTGACGTTCAATGGAGGGTACCGATCAAATAAAACCCAAACACACATTGCGAAACTTGGCCATGGGTCAAAAGCCCGTGGAAAACCCCCAGTGAACATTCGATTCAATCCAAGCACTCAAATAGGAAGCCTAAGATATATAGGTGGGGTGAATTCACCAATCCAAAATGGGATCAACCAAAACGGTTTTGACACCCGCAGCTTAGGAACACTTGGCCAACCAAAAAGCGTGAAGATCCCGAGGCTTCAGCAAACCCATCGGGCGGGCAAAAAAGCAACCATTCATTGGGTGAGGATTTCTCAAGATGAAACTTGTTCGGGAATGTTCAAAGAAAATCCAAAGAAAATCCATCCAACAATATTTATTCAAAGAAAATCCAAAGGACACTGACCATGTTGGGGAATTGTGAGAACCCCCCCCCTCCCTTTTCGGCAGTAAACTTATCCCAACTGCCGCGCTTCGCGGATTTTGTCCACAGAGACGTTACAAACCACTTCCCTTGTGCGAAGATATTCGCTGCTCAAATGGGACACTGGAGGGTACCGACCCTGAATAACTTGGGCATCTGTTTGGTACTCTCAAAACTTGGTTGATGTTGACCCCTCTGCAAAAAGTTTAACTTTTTGTGGGTTTGGTGGAAGACCCCTTGATTTCCCAAAAAGTTAAGGTCTAAAGATCTAACCCCATGGCAGTCAAGAAAATTGCGTTGAATTTCAGAGCTTTGGGGGAGACCCCAGGAAATGCCGGGAGCACTCAGCCCTTGCTTGCCATGCATGATGGGTGCTTGGTTAATCTCTTGCAGGTGTTATTTTTTGCAAACTTGAGCTGCCACTCAGCTGAGGCTCATGGACCCCACAGCACTAGGGGTCTATACCCCAAAATGGGGGCTCCCAGCCCATGGATCCTCTGCTGGCCATTTGACCAACGAGTGCAAAGTGCAAGAAGGGTCCTCGCAATTGCTGTTTTCTAAATCCTGGACGCCTTCCTACGTTTGACACATACCCAAGGCAATATTCAATCAGCCTTTGAGATCCATTTGAAGCCCTACCGGGGACCATACCCAAAGCACACAAAGAATGGAGATCAACAAAAAAAGAAACCGGAAGTGTCTGGATTAGCTGGGCGGGTCCGTTCCATTTTTTGTTTTGTTTCGGGACGCTCAGCATGGTGGTCCTGTTGGTGTCCCTAGCACCAACCGCCAAAAAAAAACCTCCGGGTCCCCAAAGCCGAGGGTCCCCATCGATCCGAGCCGATCCGAGCCGGCTGAGGCTCCGGCGTAGGGGTGCCACAGCCGCATGAACCTCAGATCGCGGATCAGACACAGTCCCGGGGAAGATGAAGTTGGAACCGCTGGTGCCAAGCACTTCAAATAGGCAAAAGGGCAAAAGGGCAAGATAGCTCAAAATCAGAGGGGCAAACCGCAGGTTGAATCGTCCATATAGTTAGGGTTCATTGTGGAATTCCGGTTTTTGAGCCACAGCCATGTGTCAAAATGGGGGGGGGGGGGGGCACGCGAAAATGGGTGATTTCCTCTTGGTTTCCCAAGAGAGACCAGACCACAAAGGACCCTCCAAAACAAACAAAATCCTATATCATTGGTTGACTCTGTCCCGGATACGAACGACTTTTAATGGGTCCCAGGTGCGAAATGGTGGACATCAGAATTCGGCGTGGATTCCATGTCCAACAACTTGTGAGGTGGTTCCCTATTCATGCTCATAGTCTGTGAAAAGTGTGTTGCAGCCAGTGCTCCCTCTGCTTCCAGGAATGTTGCGGCATGTTACAGAAAGGTTTGGAATGAAACAGCTGTAATTGTTTGGAATGAAGCCGATTATTTCTGAACGAAAGGGACCTTTCCTGAATGTTTTGGAATGCAGGTTCTGCGATGAGTAGCCCCTTGATCAGTAGGGGTTATAAATGATTTGACCCCCTTTTTCTCCCGCGGGTGGCTCCTCTAAAAGAACCTTGCGGAACCTTTTGAGCATACCCTAAAACCAAAGGTTTCTCTTCACCTCCGAACAGAGGGACCCCCCCAGCCGCCCCCCCAGCCAGCAGCCCCCTCCACTCCCCTCCAGCCGACCCTCTTCTCGTGCCGGGAGGCTCTGCGAACTTGGTGAGGTACCAGGTGTGCGAAGTCCTAAGTGAAGCTTTGGTTGGTTTGGATTGGTTATTTGATTCATTGGGTTTATTTGCTTGGTTTGGATTGTTTGGACTGGTTTATGTTGTTGAATGTGGTGTACATGGTTTATCCGGTTCATCAGGTGAAGATGTTGGTCAGTATTCAGCCCTAAAGGAATTTAATGCTCTCAGCCATATCAGTTTAGTCAAGAGCCAGGGCAAAGAGGATGTAAGATGTTGTCCCGGTTTTCATGTCATATCATATCCATCTCATATATGTGGTGCCGGAGGATAGGAGTGCTTTCCCGTTGACCCCCTACCAGAACTAGGGGTTCAAATCCCCAAACCACCGAAGCCAAAACATAGAAAACAGGAAATCAGGGATAGGATCCCCCCAAAGACCACCCACAGGCCTTTCTCCCGGTCATTGTGGTTCTTCCATGTCCAAGAGCCTTCCAGTTGTGATGCGAGCGGACGACTCCGAACAGTGGTGAAGCGTTCCGCAAATAAGGCCAACTACAGCTGGTGAGTATGAACAGAAGCAAACCAGGACACGCTAATTTCCATATATCTCCAAGTGGTTGTGTGTGTGTGTGGTTGTTTTTTTGAGGGTGCCCATGTGGGAGTGGGAAAGAAAACAACAACAGGACAAACACAATTTGGGGGCGTCCAACCTCCTATGTTGATACATTCTGAAGTGAAGATCTATACCCCGTATCTTGGGAGTAGCAGTTTGGTAGTTCCGACTCGCTGGCAGACTTTTGTCAAATCGCGAGAAACACTTGAAGGACAGCAGCGGAGTCTTGTGCCGGTTCATGGAAAAACCCTCCAAATAGTTGTTGGACGAACATGAAACGCAAATAGTCCCTTCCCAATTCACAAGGGAACCCCTGAAGCGCCATTAGCAGCAACTGTGATGGAGCTTGCAGGCCCTGAATGTGGCCATGATAGCACTAGGGTACCCTCAAAAAGCAGTTGTTGTGCAAGAGTTTGTTCTTGGCGGGGTCTCCAGTATTGTACTAACCAAGCCTTGCAAAGTTAACCTTCCAAGCACTCAGGCTATTGAGACACCTGATTATAGAACACTGCACCGTCGTCCTTGGCTGCCTGTCTTCTTCCACGACGCGCTCACGAAAATGTGTTGCATGGAGGCGCCAACATCACTGCCGATGCGTGCTTTGCCGCAATGGCCATCAGAATTACCGAAATAATGCCAGTGTCCGTGATGTCGAAGCCCTCGTGAATGTCCACAGCAATCGAAGGCCCTTAGGTAGAGGCAACCGATGCCACCAAACCCGCGCCGGCAAACAGGTCCAAGAAGATGAACCCGTCCTCATACAGGCCATTGTCATGGCTACCTTAATGAACACCCTTTTACGACTCAAGCAACGGGGTGTTGAGATCATTGCGAATTCAGCCTTGCTTGCCCACTGGCCTGCGAAAATGGACACCCGTTCCTTGTTGGCTGATTTCAAAGGGACAACAAACCCTTGAATTCCCTTCAACCACCCAAACAGAAGAGGGGTGACGGGTGCATTTTGCGGAGCTGGTGTCTGTACCCTTGGTCCAAACTCGAGCATCCATTAGCTGAGTTTTCCCTCGGGATATAGGCATCTGACCAAGTCCTTGGCCCAGGCTTCTTGGGGTCTCTGGAAATCTGAATGGAGGACCTCTTTCAAAAGGTTTCTGGGCATAGATCCCTGGACACATGAGCAGACCCATCATTTCATCAGTTACCCACACGGAAACACACTTCAATAGGGAACCCCTCAAAAGTGGTGGGTGGACCTGTTTATCCCCGAATTCTGATGTCCACCTGTCTCGCTTCCCTCCCCGGACTTTGAACACCTCTCGCTTGCCTGAGGTCAAGACCGCATCACCAAAGACCTCGAGGCACTCGTTGGCCCAAGAGTCAAAGTCAATGGTCCGTTGAAGAGGGTCCCACCCAAATCCCAGTGGCTGACAGCCACCAATAAGACCTATTTGGGTTCCTTGAGTTCCCTGAATTCTTGGGGTCCCTTTTTGGGAGGCCCTCCTTGCCACATGCAAGTAAAAGAGTGTCAAACATGGTGGCTCATACTAACCCCGACAAAAGAACGAAAGCAGAGAACCCGCTGGCATGACCCCCCAGTTTGTGGCTGAATTCACAATAGTGCACGAGTAACATGAACATGATGTATTGATGCTGCTTTTACGATTCTGTAATTCAGAGTATGGCTTTATGCGAGAGCGATTGCCACGAGCCAAATGGATTCCTATTGGTCCATCATTTGACTCGAAGGCTGTTGTGGCTCTACGGGACTGGTGGGGATTTCCCCCCGGAAACGTGGCTTCAAACAAAAGCGAATGCGGATCAACACAAACAAAAACCAAAGCCATGACGGTTTGAGAGGAATCTTCTCTTGGGAATCGGACTCTTGGGCTTCCACCAATTTTGCAGTTTGGTTTGCTTGGTTTATGTTTAGGCAATGCAGGCAATCTATGCGTTGGTCTTTTGTCATGAATTACTTCTCCCCAATTTGAGTCTCTCACTAAGCTTGCTGAGAATGAATGTTGTTTCTTTTTTTTGTGGAATTTTGCATGTGTGCTAGGTCAGGAAGGAGTTGTAGTCCCACAACGGAGGGAGCAAGGAATCCATAAATCTTGGATATGAGTAGATGAGTACGCATCAGCCGCTAGTGCCTCAAAGTTGTGCCGCATTTGATGCTCAGTAAAAAAAGGCATGGTTCCGGCTTGAGTACATTCAGCATAGTACTTGGCGGCAGCAAGTTTCCCGGAGGCAAGGCAAAACTGGTTTTGAGGTGCTACCGAGTGCTAAGTTGCTAAGTGAGCACTGAGCAGCTGGGACTTAGTAAGCCTTAGCAGGGCCTCAGGGCTCTAAAAACAGAGATCCCCTCCCTTCACAAAGGGGGCGTGGCGGTGGGGGTGAGGGGCACAGCGGGTTCTTTCCTCTAGTTGGGCAAGGGGTCCGACTCAAGCTTCGTGTCACGGCCCGCGAGAAGGGGGCCACAGGCAACTTGGAGAAAGGACACATGATTCACGAAACGAGACAACGCAAGACACAACCAGAAGAAGCAAGAACAAAACAGGGCAAGGACATGGAAATAATGAGAACTTGGAACATATGAAAAACAATCTGACGATGCACATCGGAAATCATTCGAGTCTAACCAACTGCTTTGTGTTCAAACAGAATTCGTGAGATCCTCCCCCCCCCCCGCCCCGCCCCCCGTTTTTTTGCGGGGTGGGAACCTGAGGGCAGGGAGGCACGGTGGGAGGACGGCCAACCTGGGGTGCCGACTCCAAAGGCGTCGCCTCCTCCAAGTTGATCTCCAGATCTGACGCGCGCGAGCGACCCAAAATGGGGCCTTTGGCCGGACAACAAGATGTTCGGGTTTGAGGAGTCATTGTTTTGGAGGAGACCTAAAAAACAAATCTAGTTGTTGGAGGTTGTTCTTCCGCTGTGTATTGCGTCTGTCCCAAAATGTAGCCTTTTTTGGAGGAGACCCCAACGGTTGGGGGAGTAGGGTCAATGGAGGGATAGGATCGTTAAGGCAATGAGCTGTAGTCAAGTAAAGGCCGAGGAACCCCAGGGTCACAGGGAACAATCCCCCTGCCACGAACATGCGCAGCGTTCTTACCAAAGTGTTTGCGTATTGTAGACTCTTTGAATACCAGGCTTTGACTATGACTCACACAAGTCAAACACGACAAAACGCAACGAGACAACAAAACAACACGAAACAAGGCAACGCCAAACAAAGACAACCAATCCCCCTGCACTGCAACCAAACAGTGATGAAATAAGCCACACATATATTCAAAGTTTGGTGATTCAAGAGGGAAGACAACACACGTAAGCACCACCAACGCAAACTAAAGCACATATCCTCTAAATCCACAGCAACAACGACTGCAACACCAAACTGACGCGCCGACGCTCTGTTCTTCAGCAACCCTACAGCGAGCTTTGGCGTCTTGCGGGGTGGCAAGGTGGGGGGGCCCCTGGTGCAAGATTTGTCTGCAAGGCATGGGGGAGATATGGTCATGTCTCACTTCCCTGTGGTTTCCCTACAAAACAAACCCAACCAATACCCATATGAGCCACGGGCAAAAGACAATGGGGTATCGGTTTTGGGCAGGTTTTGGGCATTCCATGCGCTATCGTTTTGTAGGTTTACAAGTATGGATGATTGTCGGTAATATTGTCGGGACTTAGACCTCCGGCAAAGAGTATTGTTTTGCTGGTTCAAGCGGGAACACCTAGGAAACCCAAAGGTGCAAAAACGTTAAAAAAAAGGTTACGCACAAGTCCGGCAATGATATGAATGAGTGTTTCCCCAACAAAACATGTGGAACAAATTGGGCTGCCCCCCTGGGTTTTGTGGGGAATGTGAGGTTTGCCCTCCACCTCGTCCTCTTCAGAGCAACAACAGGCTGCCAAACATGTTTGACACTTGCTCACGTATGTGTGTATATATATATATATAATGTGTTTTATGTGTGCTTTTGAGGCTGCCCCTTTCAAGGTTGGTTTAAAGGCAATCAACAGCACTGCCCATCAGGTGACACAGGAACGTTTTTTTTGAAGGATTGAAAGGGACATTGTTTGAAGGCTTCCCCTGGACGAGCCCATGACAATTGAAACTTGTCAGCTCCGCCCTCGGTCTTGGTCTTGCCCAGGACCTCGAGACAGGCAACCGCTTCGGTGAAACACCATTTGGGAATGGCTCACCTTCAGGAGGCCACACAGCCCCAAAGTCAAGCCCTAAGAAACTAGAAGGAACCAACCCCAGCTTCTGACCTTGATTGCCCCTAATCACACGATTTCTGGATCTGGTAAAGCGCCCTGTCTCCAATGAGCGGACTTCCAGCGATTCCATATCGAACCGAGAGGTTCACAAAGAGACTTGTGAACAACTTGTCGCAGCTTCAGTGGAAAACACGTATCAGGGACACATTTGCTGGTGCACTGGCCCCTATGCTTTTGGGGGGTCTTTTGGGTTTTGGGTAGGATGTTGGGTTTTATGAAAATCGGCTCAAAGATCTCGGGGACCCTTGCAAGTTCAGAAGCCCTCAAAGGTCCGGGCCTTTATTTCCCGCCAGATGCTGAGGGGTCTAAAGGCAAGCCTGTCAATGGAAAATAGAATTCAACCCGCACTGGTTGATTAAACGGGATTGGTGGAAAGACCACATTTTGAACTTGGGCTTTCTCCCAAAACCAGAGCAAAGAGATGGACTTCCCAACCAACCAAGGTCTGGCAAACGCTTGGGGCAAAACCCCTCGCGGAAGCTCCAGAGAACATCAGCTGAGGTTTCAAATTCGTGGGTGACTCTAGTCAAGGTCTGTGGCCCTGTGGCCCCTTTGTTACCTTTGGCGCAAAATGCGGCAGGCCTGCCAAAAAGAAACCCTTATGGGGCCAGGGGTTGCCCGCGGGGCAAGGCATTTTCCCGATACGGCAGTCTTTCAAGTACAACAGGCTGGTGCTTGAGAAACTGTTATTGCATTTTTGCACCTTGGTCTGTGGTAAGGCAAACAGCAAGGCGAGCTGTTCGGAGCTCATGGCCCTTGATGTTCTGGGCCCTAAGCGACACCATGATTTGTTGTTGCAGTTGGATGAAAGCAGATTCCACAATTGCCGGGTGCTGGACTTGTCGTCCGCTTTACTTACTCAGGCATCCACCCAGGTGCAGCCACAAACACTTATTCACTTGGAAGCTGGCCTGTGTGTGACTAGGAATATCCTTGTCTTCGCCCTGAACGCACCTTCAAGTTCTCTTTTGCAACCTGGCGAAACCACACAACACTGGGCAGGTGCCTTTGGCCACCCTACCCACAAATACGGCCAGACAATTCAATCGCCCTGTGCGACAATCATATGGAACAAGGCCCTGAACACACCTGGCATCGCCGCGCACCCCCGAAAACCCATGGGGCTAGCATAAGTTTTCCCAGCCTAAACTCACTCTAAACTCACCAACCCTCAACCAACTCTTAACCAGCCTAAAGTCAACCCCACAAGGGGGGATCTCAAAGCTGGAATACACACACATACAGATAAATACATAAGTATACAAATA